TCGAAAGTTTTCTATTAAAGTTTGAATCCTAAAATAAAACTTATCAGTTTGACTAATTCAAATTTTTTTAATTCGACTCGACTTAATCAAATACTTAATTCTAATCAAAGTATAAGTATAGCAAGGTCGTGATTGTAGTAGGACTGTTCACACTTGGTCTATACTTTAGGTATAGATGCTTCAATTTCTTTATCTTTGTGATACAAGTTGCAATTAAGAATTTGGTGAACCAGTCGAAGCATAGCTGCATAGGGACTTCTTCTGGGGAAACGTTGTTCAAACTTGGCTCCCATGGCATCAATCGAAAGGTGGACGGTAACCTCAACAAGTGGGGATCAATGGGTTGACCGAAGTGGTTATTATTTTCAAAAAATTTAAATTCTCATATGATGTAAATATTTTTTTTATCAATAATCTGTTTTTGTTTCTTAAAATTTTATAAATTTGCATCCTTAAATTTTATAAGTTTGTCTTTAACATAAAATCATGTATCCGTCCCTTAGTACGATATAACGATCACATCATGCCGTGATTAGCTTCATATTTCACTTTGGTTTCATCTACTATTATCAATGTATGTTAGGTTAACTTTCCCTCCAACGTAAGAGCAAGAGTTAACAAACACTGATGCTTAAGCAGCAAATACATGATTTATATGTATAAAGAAGGGTAAACTATACGTTTAGTATTTAAACTATTATTTTTATTATGTTTTGCTCATCTAACTATGTTTTATTTCAAAATACACATAACATTACATTTTGATTTCATTTTAATTACCCATCGTTAAAAAATTAACATAACTACTGGCGTTAATTTTTTAAAAAAATTTCAATGATGAGATGACATTACCTTATGGGGACATATCAGTATAATTATTAATTTTTTAAAAGTGGGTGACCAAAATGAAATCAAAATATTATATTAAACATGATTTTGAAACAAAGAATAGTTGAATGATCAAAACGGAATAAAAGTGATAGTTGGAATACTAAATATATAACTTACCCTATAAAGAGCCTAGACATCCTTTAAGAGCCCATGTATCACGAGATTATATCACTTAAAGCCCAAAAATGGTGGGATTATTTACTGTATTTTATTCAAAGGATATTGTTGGAGCATATTCTAAATATAATTCGTGGAGATATTGCTAAGATATCACAGAGATAATCATAGCTGGAACGCAATGGGACCCAAACTTTGGAAAAATATTATTAGATTAATTTTAAGAAATATTTAATTTTCTTAAAAAATATTTAATTATTTAATGTATTGTTAGTGGACACCAATGCCATTGTGTCTCATTGTGTACTCTCAAGTGGTGTCAAGCCTGTCACCTAACTTAAGTGGCGAAGATCTTGTGTTTGATTTGCACCATCGAAACTATGAAGATGAGTAGCTTTATTTTAATGTCCTTCAGCAGATGTCGAAGGTGATGAACTGCTCAGAGATGCCTCAAATCCCTGATGTTTTAACTTTTAAGTTTCATATTTCTTTTTTAAAAAGGGAAAACTAGTTAACAACCTAATGATGCCTTCATGAACAAGAACCACTCCCCTAAATTTCAAACTCTAAAACAGAATGAGTGAATAAGTGGCTGAAATTGAAGCCAGCAAATAGAAATGGAATGGATGGATTGAATACACGCAACATATAAATATAGTAATCCTATACAGAAAAATCCAAAAAAAAAGAACACCCAAACTTTGGAGCTTCGTTTTCATTTTCATGGATGCCACCACGTCGTTGACGTCGAGTCACCAATGAATAGAAAATAAATACTTAAACATTCTTGTCAGAAAACAAAACGATAATTTAAGAGATCCTGTCTGAAGATAATTTGTTGGCAATGACCACGAAACTAGTAGGAAATCGCACGGTTTTGCCATACGAGACCCCGAGACTAAGGGACCATTACGTGTTGGGGACGAAGCTCGGGCAAGGCCAATTCGGCACCACCTATCGATGCATCCACAAATCCACCGGCGCCATTTACGCCTGCAAGTCGATCCCGAAGCGCAAACTCGTGTGTCGGATTTACGACGACGTTTGGAGGGATACAGATCATGCACCAGTTGTCCGACCACCCGAGCGTGGTGCAGATCAAGGGAACTTTTGAAGATTCTGTGTTTGTTCATTGGTCATGGAGATTTGTGAAGGTGGTGAACTTTTGATAGGATCGTGGCTAAAGGTCATTATAGTGAAAGGGAGGCTGCTAAGCTTATCAAAACCATGTGGGTGTTGTTGAGGCTGCCATTCTTTGGGGTCATGCATAGAGATCTCAAGCCTGAGAATTCTTGTTCGATTCCCCTGGTGATGATGCCGTTCTCAATATATGACCTCCATTGGTCCTTTAAATAATTAGAAAAAGTTAAGGAAAATCATACTCGTGTCCGACACTCACACCGAGTCTGAGTATCATAGCTGTGGAATGTTGGTTCTGGTTTGCTTGGTTTGAACAATGTTCTGTTATACAATGATGTCCTAAATAGTGTAATACAATGTATATAAACCTTGTTCAACATTTACTGGGATGTCTGTAACCAGAAATTGCTTGGAAAACTCCATGCTGATGTCGAGATCGGCATCGCCTCAATTCCGGGTTGTGTCTCTGGTACCAAATTCTGCTTGCTGCTATGATACATTCGCTTGGAAACTTCACACCTATTCCACTTGCTAGCGATTTCCCTTGTGTTTTCATGGCGTTTCTCTTGTCGTTAATGGCGGTTGCTTTTGCAGGACAACGTTATTCCGATGTTGTCGGGAGTCCCTTTTAGTTGCACCAGAGGTCTTGTGCAAGCATTATGGACCAGAAATAGATATATGGAGTGCTGGTGTTATCCTTTATATCTTATTGAGTGGGTTCCACCCATTTTGGGCAGGTAAGAGTCATGTATCCTGCAACAGTTGGTCTCATTCTCACGTTCTTAAATTCTAGAGCAGTGTTTTACTTTTCGTCTCTGCTCGTAGAGACGGAATCCGGGATATTCAGACAGATTTTACATGGGAAACTTAAACTTCGCATCCGAGCCATGGCCTAATATCTCTGAAAGTGCGAAAGATCTAATACTAAAGATGCTCGAGAGGCACCCGAGGCAGAGAATTTCTGCTTATCAAGTCCTATGTAAGTCATTGATACTTTGTCATCCAAATGCCATTTCCCTACCTTTTCTTTTATGTGTGGAAGTCACTGCAGTGGGTTCATTATGCTCAGGTCACCCGTGGATCGTCGATGATAGAGTTGCCCCGGACAAACCTCTGGATTCAGCCGTGCTGTCACGCCTGAAGCAGTTCTCGGCAATGAACAAACTTAAAAAGTTGGCTTTGCGCGTATGTGATCATCGGTTATCTTCTACACCGAATTGCTGAAATAAGTAGCCTTTATATGTATGTTTCGCATCCCATTCTGTTCCACTGGAAACCAAAATATTGCAGGTAATTGCAGAAAGACTCTCGGAGAAGAAATCGGTGGTCTGAAAGAGTTATTCAAAATGATCGACACGGACAACAGCGGGACGATAACATTTCAGGAACTCAAAGATGGTTTAAAGAGAGTGGGATCTGAACTAATGGAATCCGAAATCAAAGCTTTGATGGAAGCTGTAACTATTCTTTCTCCTCAAATCAATGTTACTTTACAACATGATTGAGTGATTGATGAAAATCACAAATGTTGCCATGGCAGGCTGATATTGACAACAACGGAACGATTGACTACGGCGAATTCATCGCCGCGACACTGCACATGAACAAGATGGAGAGAGAGGAAAACATACTTGCCGCTTTCACCTATTTCGACAAAGACGGTAGTGGCTACATCACCATAGATGAACTCCAACAAGCTTGCAAAGAGTACGGCCTAGGGGACGTTCCGCTTGAGGACATGATCCGAGAAATCGACCAAGATAACCTGCACATGAACAAGATGGAGAGAGAGGAAAACATACTTGCCGCTTTCACCTATTTCGACAAAGACGGTAGTGGCTACATCACCATAGATGAACTCCAACAAGCTTGCAAAGAGTACGGCCTAGGGGACGTTCCGCTTGAGGACATGATCCGAGAAATCGACCAAGATAACGTAAGTGCATAACTGTTTCGACATTATAATTCCGATTGTTGTTGCTGATATGATCAAAAAATGGTAGGATGGGAGAATAGATTATGGGGAATTTGCAGCAATGATGAGAAAGGGAGATGGGTTGGGAAGAAGCAAAAGCTTGAGAAATAACATCAACATGAACATAGCTGATGCATTTGGAGTGGGAGTGAAAGACATAACATCACTGCCCCCCACTACTACTACTACCTCTTGTCCTTCTTCTAGTTAGCTACTTTTTTAAAAAAAATTATTTTACATTTACGTTTATAAATTACCATACTCAAATCCAAACCAAAGGTTAACCTACAGGAATGTTTTCTTTGGTTGAGATTTTGTATAGACACTATGATTTTATTCATTTATTTTCAAGCTGATTCTTTTGCAATGGACCAGATGATGTTGTTCTTTGCTTTGTGCCAATAAAAACACTTTTATCTATTATTTATTTAATTTTTTTAATACAAAGAATGAAATTTCGATAATTGAAGTAGCTTTCTGCAAAAGCAGTTCAATCGAATCCACCTCCAGGACCGTTACAGTTAACAGTTACGGAGTCTCGACATTGAAACTTGACATAGATTACTTCAACAACACTGGAAACATGTTATCATTGAACCTGATTGTAAAGTGATAACTAATGTTACAAAAACTGAGTTTCGTAACATGTTATCATTGAATCTGACTGTTCCGAAAACAGGGTTTCGCCCCCAAGGGAGTTGCAAGACCTTTTGTAACTTTATCTTCTTATGATGAATGTCGAACCCAGAAAAAGAATGGCACAAATCAGCTATATTTAAAATGACAAACTATTATTACTGGATACGCTACATATGAGTACAGCTTTTACATATTCTACAGCAACATTATCATGTAGTGCTGTCTGTAAAAGTAAAACTGGAGAAAATGGCGTACAAAGCATTTCTAGTAAAAAGAAAAGTTGACTCCCAAATGTTCTAAATAATCTAATTGGGAGATGACTTTGAGTTAACATAACATTGAAAATAAAAGTTACCTGCCCTGTGCTTTTCATATTTTGTGACAATGCCTAGATCTTTTCAATATCCTGCTGCAGAAATGAGGATCTTCTAGTATGCACTATCGTTTCTTGGATCCTAAATTTGGAGATTGTAAATTTTGTATTCTTAATCCCCCGTTGTCAGTCAGGAGGATGCCACAAACTTCACCAACATCGCCTTATTCATATATCTTCTTTTTCTTCAGAAAGGTAGGAAATATGGAGACCATCCCGATAAGGAAAAGCACGGACAAGGTCTTGAAATCGTAGAGGTCCTTAACAGACCTGAGATCCCCAAGTGCAAGGCCAGCCTGAAAGAAGATACAATGGTGGTCCTAAATCAGATAAGGTATCTGAATATATATGGTTGCCATCTTTTTCTATCATTTGACTTGCATACGACACCAACAAATTGAAATTAATTTAATCTCAACACAAAGTTATAGACCCAACCCGATTCCATTACAGCGAATGATCCATTAAATGGAGACAAATAAAAATATCCAATGACATCCATTAACCCAACCTAACATTAGGAGAATGTATGACGTAAGAACCCTATTACAATGAGAACCAGTTCTTTATCAACAAGCACCTACTTCAACTTTTTTGATTGAAATCTCCCTAGATAGTCTATGGTTGAACAACTCCATATTTGGCTAAAAGTAGAAAACTGATGTAGACGGAATATCGCATCAGATTATATGTATAGTGATCTTGTAGAAACTTTTCTCATTCCAAATTGTAAAGAATGCACATCAATACCAACAGTAACCGAAAGAAATAGAAAAATGAAAATCAATCCGTAAGAATGCATGAAATTAACTGAGGTACATGGGAGGACACTTACTTTGACAGTTATATAGGAGGCTGGTATTAGGCCGATAAAAGTTGCTAAAAAGAACACATGAAACGGTATGTCAACAATTGGTGATGCCAAGTTGATAAATAGGTTGGGTAAAGTTGGAGTAATTCTCAGAAAGAGCATGTAATTCAGCAACTTGTCCCTTCGTTTTGCAATCTGATTCCACAGAGAGAAAAAAAGAGTCAAATTCAATAATAAAAAGAAGATAGGGTAAAACAAGTGAAAGATGCTAAATTAAGAAAAAACACAAACAAATAATTACAAAGACTGTAACAAGAGGAAAAAATGAGGGCACCTCAGCTTGAAAAAATCTTAATTTATCAGGCCACAACCAACTGACCAAAGGCCTGCCAATCAGCTTCGACAGAAAAAAGCAGGAGCATGCTCCAGCTGTGGCATTGAAGACAACCAAGAAAAGGCCTTTAACACCAAAGAGAGCTCCAGCTAGCAAAGACATGAAAATCGTTCCAGGAATCATAAAAGTTTGCATGAAGATATAAGTTGAGCAGTAACCCAAAATGAATTGTGTTGGGTAATCGTTTGCATATGTTGCAATATTATCTCTGAAAAAGAACAGAAAAACACGGACTTCAGTAAAATGAGTTGAAGCTAAAACATGAACACAGAAAGAAGTTATTCATGACAAAGTAGAAACACCCGGCAACAAGAAAGTAGTGAATAAACAAGTAAACTAAAGCAGATGATAGAAATAAATTAGGAATGGTAATTTCAGCAACAATGCATTGTTAATACATAGTGAGAGAAACTAATGAAACTTAATGATGGAATTTTGCATAAGAAAACACCAAATCAGAACTCAGCAACCAAAACAACCAAATCAAATGTTGATGCTGTTGTTTTAAATAAACAAGTGAACTTATACGCTAACTGTGATCCCTCAAAATACGACCACTCGGTATTGAAGGATCTCTATACAAGAAATATTTAGTACATAGTTGGATCCACTCGGTATGAAATATTCTCCCTACAATTTGCATTATCTGATGCCCTCACAAGATCCACATATGAACTAAACTCATCATTAGTCATAGATTGCTTTTAAACTCCCTAGTGCTTCACATTAAGGTGTATGGGATAGGGTAAGGACAAAACAAATGAAAGGATTCATTCCGGACAGAATATATATGATAAGAGTTCTCATCCACCGTTATCTTCACCTACAATCTAACACAAACGGAGGCATATTTCAATTTTAAAAAATGATTTGAACTATAATTATAAGCTAAAATAATCTCAATAGTTCTCTCTAGCTCAAAATCCTATAAACCACACGAAATCTAAAATGGGCATTCCGAAAATCAACAACATTCATCAAGTCCAAATATTTAAACCACAAATTATGCTTATTTCTTAGCCAATTGAGAGAGAACACCAGTTTTGACGATAAAAAAAGGGGGGAAACCTACTTAAGCAATCGCAGATCAGAGATGGAACGTGGGATCTTGAGTTTCCCGTACTCGGTAGCGGGCATGGTAAGGTAGATGCAGAACAAGCCGGTAGAAAAAATCAAGAAAACCCCGAAAAAGGCAGCCAATTCCCACCTTGAAACGGGAAATCTTTCCGATTTTAACCTCTTCCCCGACGGGGAATCGTCATCTTCCTTGATGCTGATGCTCAACAACGCCGCCGCAGCACTCTCCTCGTCCCTCAACACATTCCTCGGCGCCGCCATTTTAGAACATCGACAAGATAAAAGTGCACAAAAACAAAGCTGTGGGGGCACTTAGGATCCCGAAAGAATATAAATGACGACAATAAATGGAAACAAAAGATTGCTGAAGAATTAAAGAATCATTTATATGGGAATGGAAAGGGGTATTATGATGAACCCTAATTTGAAAATTTTGAATTGGATGTCCGAGACCCGAAGCGCTTTAAAGCAATGCTTTCTTTTTCTTGCGGTTTTTTTCTTTTCCTTTTTTGAATGAAACAGAAGAAACAGAACTATTTCAAAGACAAAGTTGTTCTTTTTATAAATTAAGAAAAATGGATGAAAAATGTCAAATATTTATATTTTATTTATTTAAATAAAATAGTTTATATTTTATGTTCAAAATATATATTATTAAAACTTAACACTTATTTATTTAATAATAATTTTTTACATAGAAATTAAATAATTATATAAAAGTATAAAAATCTTATTTTAATAATTTGTCTTGTTTAACCCCAAACTCAATATTACATCACAAAACCTCCAATAAAACTATTATAATATTCTGAAATTTAGGTTGACAATTTCAGGCAGAAGATCGGATTTTGAAAAAATATCGATTTTTTTAATTAAATTAAAAAAATGGAAATATTGTTAAGGGTGAAATTAAAAAATTAAGATAATTTGGGGTTTAAATAAAAAAAAGTATAGTTGATTGCTGAATTAATTTACAAAATTAAATTAAAGATTAACTTGAAAGAGAACCAAAATATTACGCTACCATTTATTATTATTTTTTTTAATTCATTGAAACTACCGATAACGAGTCTCCATTAAATATCACTGCATCTCATTTCTTCCATCAACGGTATGAAATTGTTAATCGAATATTGGAACATCATAGAAGTCCAAGTCTATCGGACAATGATATCCAAAAAAACACCGAACTCCGAAGAAATGCGTGACTGTGGAGACCAGAATAAAAATTGTGCTTGTGATCAGTTATGTCATTCTAGTATCGTGATTGTAAATCTACGAACATTACGATAATTTATTTAAAAATAATTGTGATTTTATATTATGGATACGATTTTGATATCGTGATAACCTTTAAAAAAATATCACGACGTGGATGTTGACTGTATTACAGCGGTCATTTAATATTACGATGGTGACACATAAAATTCAAAACTTAATAGGAAAGAACAAACACAGCGAAGGTGCAGCACAACACAACTTACTGTCGCTGGGCTTGATTCATTCAGTAGCGGATTCAGAAATTTAAGAATGAGATTTAAAATTTTAATTTTTTAAAAAAATAATAGGTATGAAAAAATTGTAATTTTTTCTTTTTTTTTAACACATTAAATTAAATTTAATCAATTTTCTAAAATAATAGAGATACATTTAACCTCTATGGGCCACTGGCTGGGCTTTCGCTTTGAGCTTTGAGTTTCATGAATTCGGATGCAATAATAACATACAACCAAGTGTATCTCTGTATTGCACTATTATTAGTTGACATTTCCAAATATAAATACAATGAAGTTAATTCATTTCCAAATATTCGTTATTCAATTTAATGGCCAAACCTGTATTGTCCAAACTAACCCATCTCTCGTTTATGACAAAAAGATATCATATTTGATTGTTAAAAAGGTCATAGATCCAAATCCTAAAGTTTGATAATAGAATAAACTAGATTAAGAAAGTAATCTTCACCGTTACGATACCCGATCCGAATTAATCGATTAATAGAATAAATATCAGTGGTTATATCCAAGAAAAAAAAGGAAAATAGAGTTCTCACCAACTTCAGGGCTCATGCCAAAGCCCATCCTAGATCCTAAAATCTCTATAAAAAGGCAGGTTTCCTCATCTACAGTCAACCGACACTCTTCGCTTCATCACATATAATCTCCATTAACAAAGTAGCAGGAGATGGCAAGCACCACCAAGGCATCATCATCACTGTTCCTTGCATCATTCTTTGCCTTGTGCTACTCTCAGAGGTATGCCATTGACCATTCATCCCTTTATGTACATGCATCGTAGCTGGCCGTTGTTAATTTTCGACACGAGCCCGATTTCCAGGTTGAAATGCTGATGGCTCAAGCTGCACCAGCACCGTGACAGGTCCAGGCACCCAGGTAAAACAAATGAAGTACTGAAGCACTCGTTTTTAGTATTGCTTTTGTGTTTTGAGCTGAAAACAATCATATGTATGCGCCATATGCAGTTGCAGATGAATGTTCGAAGAAATTTATTTTGCTGCATCTATATGCACACTTCTTCGGGCATTCATCTGCTCTTAATTCGGAGGTCTCACACGGAAGCTGCTCTTAACCTGACATTGGAAGCAGCCTACTATCCTATCTCCCCTTACTTCATTACATATGGGAATAAGGGTAAGCTAATAGATGCAGCAAAACATGGAGGCAAAAGATGTGTAACAAAACATGTGTAGCTTGCTGCCATAGGTGTCCTGATCATTGTGTACCTGATGGTCCTATAGCCTCTCGAGATTCATGCTATTGCTACTCCCATATCAGGACACATCATAACAAGTACAGGTGCCTTAGAGTCTACAGTTTAGACTCTATTTTTGCTTATTTATCTTTTTTTTTTGGTCAGTGGGAGAGTTTAGGAAATGGAATAAAGGAATAACAAAGACGTTGCTGTTTCTGTTGATTCATTACCATATGGGGGTATTTGTTTACAAGCTTAATGTTGGATTTTTTCCCTTTTCTTTTACTTCTATATACTAATAACAAAAATTAGAATAAAATATCATAGTATTTCATGTTATCAGTATTATTTTACTTACCATTTCAGTTCACGGGTAAACTGCAACAATGATTACTAAAGTTGGGTTAGGTTATTTTAATCACTGAAGTTTAAAAAATTATATTATGAACATTAATGTTATCAGTTTGTAAAAAAAAAAAAACTAAATTAAGGTGATCACAAAAACTTGATGTGATCGATGTATTAGGATGGTTGAGTTGGTATTGTTTGATCACTTTGACCTCTCTTTGGTCGATCATTTAACTTTCACTTGAAGAAAAAAAAAAATTCTAACATCTTGCCCTGTTCTAATCGAAAATATGAGTTGGAAATGTCACCCTAATTTACCCTTCACACATTTGACCCTCACTTGAAGATCATCATCGAGTATTCTTTTACCTAGGGATGGGCATGAGTTGAGTTGGATTGAAATTTTTGTCAATTCGACCCAACTCAAAAATTTTATATCATTCATTCGAAACTCGATCCGATCCAGGGTAATTTCACTAGACCCAAAATTCGACCTGGCTTTTGAGATAAAATTTGACTCCGACCTGAAATAATATAAAATTATTAATTTTATTCAATAAAATAAGGACTTAATTGAAAATAAATAATATAAAGAGGGTATTATTGTAATTCTCCTAAATATATAAGGTATAATTATATTATTTTTAGGTCGGGTAAGATATTTACCCTAAACCTGAATCCAACCCAACCCAAACTAATTTTTTTTAAAAAAAACCGACCCAATTGAATTAAGTCATATCAAAACCCATCAAATTTGGATCACATGTTCATCCCTTTAGGGGGTGTTTGGATTGGGGAATGTGGGATTCCCATGGGAATGGAATCCACATTCCCTCGTTTGGTTAGCCCGGGAATCCTATTCCCGGTAATGTAAGATACCAATAGTGGATTTTTTGGGGTATATTACCGGGAATGTCATTACCTCCCTTTCCTTAGGTATTGTTGGATTACCGGCGTTTTGGACTAAAATGCCCTTAAATTTTTATTTTTTTTCAAAAAATATATTTATTCTGTCATCGAATAATAAAAATTTTACGAATGTTAAATTACAAATTTATCCTTAAATTATTTTAGATTTACAAAAAAAAAAAATCTATAATTAAAATTTTATATAAAGTTCAAGGGTTTAAATAAAATTTACCCTTTCATTAAACTTTTTTTTTTTTTAATTTTGTAAAAAAAATATAAATATTATGAATTTAATTTTTTTAAAGAAAATATATAAATATTTTCCAACTTGTAATATTACACAAAATATAATTAGGACAATTTGGTCAAATATACATTCCAATAATCTTTTATTCCTTTAACCAAACGGTAATCTTACATTCCTGCTAAGCCAACCAAACACAAAATACAACATTCCCAGTAATGCTATTCCTTGGTAATTACATTCCGACTGGTAATCTTATATTCCGTGAAAAAACGCACCCTTAGGGTGTGTTTGGTTGGGGAATGTGAGATTCTCATGGGAATGAAATCCACATTGCCCGTTTGGTTGGCCTGGAATGTTATTCCCGGTAATCTTACATTATAGTAGATTTTTTTGGGTATTACCGGGAATGTCATTACCTCCATTTCCTTAGATATTGTTGGATTACCGGTGTTTTAGAGTAAAATGCCTTATATTTTTTTTCGAAAATATCCTTATTCTATCAATGAATAATAAAAATTCTACGAATGTTAAATTACAAATTTATCCTTAAACTATTTAGATTTACAAAAAAATATATAATTAAAATTTTATATGAAGTCAAGGGTTAAAATAAATTTTACCCTTTCATTAAACCTTTTTATATTTTCAATTTGCAAAAAAATATATAAAATTTTATGAATTTAAATTTTTTGAATAAAATATATAATATTTTCTAAATTGTTAAAAAAACAAATATATAATAAGGACAATTTGGTCAAAATACATTCCAATAATATCTTATTCCTTTAACCAAACACAATAATCTTACATTCCTGCTAAACCAACCAAACTCAAATACAACATTCCTAGTAATCATATTCCCTGGTAATCTTTTTTCTCACTGGTAATCTTACATTCTGTTAACCAAATACACCCTTAGAGGTTTTATCAAACCATCTTTTCTAACGAAATCAAAACATATATTCAAAGTTAAGTTTATCATCTAAATTAATATTCATATGAATCCTTAATTTCTCAAAAAAAATGAACCATAAATTCTACGAACCCTAAATTAATATGCGATACTAAACGATGGGGAATTGCTTGGTCTTTACAAATTTATGTTCAATTCGGGGTTTCATCCACTAAATTAGAGTGATTTAAGGGTTTTCTTAATGGTGTTTTGGCAAATTAAGGAAGATGAATGAACTTCTCATCTTTATTTCCCTTTAACCAACTTGGGATAGAGGAGTTAACCCTCTTGGAAGGGTTCCTCAATTTTAATTCATTTTAATCTAATTCTCTATCAATTTAACTAATTTCTAATATGTATTTAATTTTAGGACTCAAATGTAAGGAATTGACACCTAGCATGCTTACTCGTCAAAAAGTGCTAATTAAGTTGAAAAGGTTAATCACACAAGTGATCCTTTGATTTCTCTGTTGTTTTTAATTAGGCATCAAAAATTTTAATCTTTACACTTTCACCCATGAAATTTCAGTCTTTACAAATTGATCCTCAATTGAAAAAAAACTAAATCATAATTAACCAAGCTAACTTCTTTTGTTAGATATATTCAAGGGCTTAAAATATCAAATAAATCCCACGAAATTATGTTATTGCTTTGTATATTTTGGTTATGTTATTTTATTTAATTAGTCTTTCTCTGTTCATATAAAAAATGAATGATTTTATCTACTTTTGTAAAATCGTCTTTTCTCAAGATTGGATTTACATCACCTTTCCAGTTGGTTTTTTATTTGGTATTTTATGATGTACTCCTGTTTTGACTCATATTAATTTTTTGTAACATCTTTAATATTTTGTACTGAAATTTTTAGCCTAATGAAGAGAAAGTTATTTTAAAAGATTAAAATATTTATTGTTAGTATTGGAAAGTATTCCATATTCAATTAAGTTCAATTGGTTAAAATCTAGTTTGATTATGGATTAAAGTGAAAATCGATAAGTAAAAGGTGAAAGTTTAAAGACCAAATTCTAAAGGAAGCAAAAGAAGAAGCTTTGCATGGTTATTGACCCAAAAGTCAATATTAGTGGGAAATTATGAAAATTTGCAATATATGTATCAAGTACCATAATACAGGAATAGTGTAAAGTGATCATTAGTAATTTCATTTATTATATTGGAAAATAGGTGTTAAGGGCACTTGAACTTGTTATGGGTATTGATCTGGGAATAGCAATAACAGGAATCTCGGGGAGCTGTAGGACCCTTAGGCACACAATGATCGGGACACCTGTGGCAGCAAGCTACACATGCTTGGTTGCACATCTCTGCCTTCCATGATTTGCTGCATCTATACGCACACTTGTTCGGGCATTCATCTGCAACTGCATAATGCAAACATACATGTATGATTCATACACAAACACAACTAAATAAAGGGTTTTACACATACGCTATTCATTGTTTACCTGGGGGGCCTGGGGCTGGTGCTGCATGAGCCATCAGCAACCTGGAAATCGACATCGTCTCGAAATTAACGATGGCCAGCTACGAAACATGAACATATAGGGATGATGAATGGTGAATGGCATACCTCTGAGAGTAGCAAGGCAAAGAAGCGATGCAATGAACAGTGTTGATGTCTTGGTGGTGCTCGCATCATCTCCTGCTACTTTGTTGAGAGTGACGATGGAGATTGTGTGATGAAGCGAAGACAGCGTGGCTTTTTATAGAGATTTTTAGGGTCTAGGGATGAGCATCGGAGTGCTGAGAAACTTCCTTTTTTTCTTGATGCAGCTTTTCCCATGGTGTTTTCCTGATAATTGAGAGACGAATTACTATGGACAATATAGGTTTGGACATTAAATTAAATATAAAGTATAGCCCACACACATTATTTAATATCAGACATGTCGGTTAATTATTAATATCAGCTGCTACGATATTTTAATTTCTGTGTTGCACATAAAAATAATTTTAATAATTTAGTAAAAGGAAAGTTAATTGGATCCTACAAACTCAAATTATAATATCCATTTTAACTTGATTCTAAAATTTATATATCACTTAAAATAAAATATTCATATTATTACTTTAAAACAAGCGACAATTTCCCGTTACTATCTATTTTTATTGTTAGTGAATTAATAATTTTAAATCGATCTAAAAATTTTAATAAAAATAAAATATTAAAATTTAAAATATTTTTTTAAAAATGAAAATCAAAAATTAATTATGAATGATTTTTTTTTCAAATTTAAAAGTTATATTTATTATATTCATTTTCATTTATGTACTTTGTTGTATCTCCCAAGTAGATGGACTAAATCCATTGTATTTTATGTGGAAATCTTAAGAGTAATAATGATGCAGTACAGCTGCAGTTAGTTGTATATTATTATTGCATCAAAATTCAGAAAACTCAACGCGCAACACGACAGGGACAGCTAGTGTGCTGTGTTGCGTTTGTTTACTCGACGTGCCCAAATCCCTCTTTGATTAGTATTGTAATGAGTAGAATCGAAATTTAGTATTATTAAATTTGATTCGAAATTAAAAATTTAAAGTTGAATTTCACTCTATTTAAAAGTTATGAGTTTAAAAATTAGATTCGACTCGAATTCATAATCAAAAAATTAAAGTTCGACTCGAGCTTGATAAAATTTGAATTTAAATATATCAGTTTAACTCGATTTAACTTAAACTCAATTTCAGACCTAAACTTTAAATACATGGAAACGACAAATCTGCTTAGATATTACATTCAAAAATGAGTTTTTTTTCATAGGAGGTGGTACATATTTTATTTGTTCAAATGGAATAAGTTTTACAGTGTTCGAGAAAGATGTCTTAACCACCTGATAATATCAGATAGACAATTTTACTTGAATATTGTTTTTTTCTCTTTGGGCAGACGTCGGTTCTCATGTGTTTCATGATATAATGTCGTGATATACTAACATCTAAAAAGATAATATCGAAATATAAATACTTATTTCAAACAAAAAAAATTTTATACAATAAGTAAAAAAATATAGTTTAATCACATATTTTTCCATTAATCCTTTTATTAACAACACTACTTACTTGTGAGGATTTAACAACAAAAATGCCTTCTCTTTTACTCAAGTTATCCACCAGTGGTTCAACAATCATAGCATCATTAACCACAACCTCTTCCCCTATATCAGTAAGAGGATGGATCACATTGGTCCATTCTCACTAATGTTTCAAAGGTATAGAACCTGTAACAATCTCTGCTCAACAATAATGTAATCATGTATGTAGGAATGACAAAATCAGCAGTCTCTACACATACCTTAGTTAAGATCATCTCTATTGCTGCCGTATCGCATCGCGGTTGCAGATGTTATAATTTATTTTTTCAAAATATAATTATGTTTTTATATTACACATACGGTGTGGAAATTACTTTAAAAAGTAGTACGAGATGTGGTGTCGCAATTACTTTGGAAAATATTAATCCACATAGCTAAACTCTTTTGAGTGAAGAGGAACTCCGCTAAGATGAATCCACATCGGCATCTTCTTCAAGTCAAAATCGAGTTTCTTCAGATTTGGTTTCCACCTTCGCAAAACCACAGGTTTGTTCTGAATGTGCCAAGGCCCATTTTCCAGAACCCAATCTCGCGCCATAGCATCCAAAAATTGAAGAATGAACAAAATATTCACCAGTAGACTTTACTTCTACTGATCCCATATTAAGAAGCTTCTCCATCAACCAAAATCTGGTGGAACCCCTAAAATTGGGCCACCAGTAAGTCCGGCATCTTCAAGCACCTCAGATGACAGCTATATAGGGATGGAACCATCAGTAGAACTCTAGGTTTGATTCACACCCGCATCAAACAATTTCTTTCAATCAAGACCACTACCATATCTCGAAAGAAAATACAAAAGAAATCAGAAAGAAGAAGTAGAGAAATCGAACAATAATCGAGGAAGAACGAGGAGAACCTATCAGATGCACAAAAGACTTGCTAAAATGCACCTCGATCTCCCTTAACGTGCGCCAATGAAACTGCTTTTCTAAATCTTTGTTTCCATGAAATGCCAAATCAAGAAAAAGGATTTAAATTCTTGATTGCACGGATCCGACAAATTAATCCGTTTTCTTCAGGAAAACCCAAAAGAAGTGGCAAAGTATCGTGTAGTTTTTATTGGACAAAATACATTAAAGATCATTAAATTGTATTTAAATAAATTTTTAATTATTAAATTTTTAAAAATTATAAATAATTATTAAATTTATTCCGTTATTGTAAAATAATTATTAAACTTATTCAGTTATTGCAAAAAAAAAAATTACCATAATAACTATAACGATAAAAGTATACAATGATTCATCGATTATAAATATTACTTTGTTGAGTCTTTAAAATATTAAAAGTTACAAATAATTTTATGACTATAGGACGTTATTTTGTGGAGTTTTCTAACTATTAAAATTATAAAATGGTCACATTACTATTAATATATTCTAAACTCGTCATTTTTATTAAAAATTGACGATCATCTTAGCTGGACATTAACATGGTAACAAGATATAAATGTGATCTCATAACTATTTCATTTGTATTTTGTGGATCGACTATCCGTTTATATTATGTCGTCGAACCAATGCTTGAAACACATGCCATCGAGCTAGTTTGAAAGCACGGTGGTACCAATAGACATCATTAAAATATGATTTTATTATATCTTAGTAGCAAATTAACGTCCAACTCATACGACTGTCAATTTTTTAATAGAAAATGATGAGTTTGGAACACGTGAATAGTTAGGTGATCATTTTGTAACTTTTAATAGCATGGGACTCAACAAACTAACATCTTAAATTAGAGGGACATTTTATAATTTTTAATAATTGAGAGACTCAACAAAAAAATCTTATAATCGATGAACAATTTATGTTAATAATTTTTATAGAATAATTTAATAAATTTTATTTTTATATTTTTAAGTTTAATTACTTCAGTGACTTAGTATGTCATTTAGCCTTTTAAATTTGATTCAAAACTCATCTCCGATCCTTTCTTCCCCAAACTCTCTCAAAATAATTTATTTCTTTTTTGTTTTCTAAAAATACATTCCTTAATTCACACTTCAAATCTTTCTTTCCTTTTTCTTCTTTTTCTCTCTCTACACAGAAAATTTATAATACAAATTTTATTTTTATTTTTTTCTCTTCCTAGAAGGCAGAGTAAGCTAAGTAGAGAGTGAGAGAGGAAAATAATTTTACAATGCTATAATGGCTCAGTACAGGCAACAGTATCAATACAGCAATGGGACGGCGTCAGATCACGTGGCCATTGGTGTTCGGGGAGGAGGCGCCGGGAACAAGGCTGTTCGATGGCGCCGATCGGGACGCGCCGAACCGCCGAATCTCCTTTGGCTCTCTCGTCGTTGTTTTGTTCGTCGTGCTTTTTGTAACTGTTCTCGTATACTATTACATCTCTGCTGATAATAATGACATCGTAAAGGTTGGTTTTGGATTTCTACTGCGAATTTTGGAATTTTCGATCTCCTTTTTGTTTTTCTTTGGGGAAAAAAGGCGAGAGAGTGAATTTTCAGAATTCGTTTGCTACTGGCTATCAGCACATTTTTATAGATTAATTCCTTATTTATGGATCAATGCTAGTTGTTTATACTAGGATTCGTTGGATTCAGAAAATGGATAAAAAAGAGAGGAACAATTTGAATGAGTTTAGGTTCCAAACATAAGAGAAATTATTATTTGTGGCTAAAATAAATTAGAGGTTTGGGTGTTTGAAACTTTCCATTGTTTAGTATATGCGATTTTATCATGTTGGCACTACCTTTTCATGTCATTAGATTAACACAAATTTGATTTGTTTCGGTTAAATGAGTGGAATAACTTTCCTTTTAGGGCTTAAGTTTGACATTTTTCAGTTAATGTAATAGAATGAATGTTTTTTTATATTAATTTTAACATTCCAAATATGAAAATTCAATATGATCTGTTGCTGGGGGAACTTGTGAACTAGATGTATGTTTCTGCAGGGTTAAATAGTTACCAATCGGAGGAGATTTGAAGGTTGATTCTGATTTCCTCACAATGTGACACGAATGGAAAATTTTAAAATCCTTAACTTTGGCAATGGTTCTGTATCACATGGCCGTGATTCACGATATCGGGATAGGGATGATAGGAGGATGATGATTACAATGATGCAGTAGAGAACAACATCACAGATTCTAGATATGTGCATCTTGATGGTGGCCATATTCCCACGAAAGTAAAGAATAAGAAAAGGGCTTCCCTTGATTCCGACAAGGAGCTAGATCGTAGAGTTGCTGGGTTGTACAATGAAGCTGGTCGCAATGAATTAAAAATGTATGAAGCAGAATATGAGGCATCTCTAAAGGGAGGGGGCAAATCTAAAAAAAGAACTTGGAAATAACCATCAGTTTTCTGATGGTAAGGATTTTGGAATCAGTGATGAGGTTAATGCTGATGACAATTATGATGATGGCATTGATTCTAGTGATACTCAAAAGGATGAATATGATGATTTTGCACGGGACAAGGACTATATTTTAGATGAAGCGAAATCTCATGATGAGAATGTTACTGAGTCCTCTACTTCCTTAAATGCTAAAACTCACAAAGAACATATTGTCAAAGAGGTTAGGAAAAATCCACTTTCTCTAGGGAGGCCTCTCAAGATGTTGATGATGTTGGTTCTGGTTCTCATCATGTTGGTTCCTTTAGTCGTAAATCTGGAAAAACTCAAAAGCAGATCAAAGAAAAAGCCAAGGCGCCGGAAATTTTCAGGTATTCTACAATTTTTAGTTAATGTCAGATATCCTTACACAATGCATAGACTTGTCTGTCTGTGTACATTAAATTCAGCTTGAGGATTGAAAGAACCTTGAGGATTAGGATTCATTTGGTGGGTTCGTATGCAAATTCTGTTTACTTAAACGGAATTAGAAGGAAAGACTGTGGATTTATATGAAGAGCTTAAAATACTTGAGTTGGGAGATCAAAACTGAAATTCCTGATGGCTTTATGCCAAACATATTTCATACCTTTAAATTTCTTGATGACGTGTCACCCATCTAAACAACAAAAAACTTTGTCAGGTTTGATAAAACATTTTCCTACGTAGCACCCTAATCAAATTACAAGAGGATAGTTAAAATTTAATCTCAAAGCAGTGCAGGAAAGGCTAAAACACCAGTTTTCAGCTAACATGTATATTATACATTTGATGCTTGAGCAGAACTTTAAAGTTGCAGTGACATGGTATAGTAACTGGTCTCTTTCATATTTTGGTCTCCCAACTCTGTATTTTAAGCTCATATAGGCTCTTATTTTGCTACACATGATAGGAGTGTTAATTGGTCTTAACCCACATTTGTTGCTTTTAGGTTGGATGCTTAACAGTCACGAATTAAAAATTTTAAGTACCCATTAGCTTCATTGAAATTAATTTAGCTTAGTTTGAATCTCTTTACCAATATACATCTTGATGGAATTGCTCTCATTTGGCAAATAGTTCTTCTCCTCCATATCAAGTCAAGGATGGTTGATATTTGCTAGCATTTTTCTTTAACAATAAATTTGCTTCAGTAAGCTTGCTGATAGTGGTGAGATCCCTGCATTTTAAATTCATATATCAGTTCTTGTACACCATCAAAGGCCTTCTTAAAGAAAAAGAAAAGATAAGAAGGAAAGAAGAAGGGCCTCATGAAATTCTAGATCTAAGTTTTCTCCTTGTTCTTTATCTGCTGAAACTATGTATTCTTTATATTTGCCTCTTCTTCTAGAGTAACATTTTACTTTTAATTCTTAGGCTCTTGTGAGATGAAATTAAAAATCAACACACCTTGTGGAGCCTGTAGAAAGTCGAAAGTTGCACGATTTTCCTTACAGTATACACAAATGGAGAAGCCTGAAGGAGAACAATGGATACATAAATTTGCGGGGATCAGAGTTTACAAGAACGGAGGAATCTTTTTTGGCGCGTGATAAAAGGATAATTGTGGGTTTGTTAAAGGTCCACAAGGATATCCAACCACTGGCTTTGATCTGGCAGAAGATGATGTGAATTATATCAGCAGGTGCCACATTGCTGTCATTTCTTGCATTTTTGGAAATTCAGATCGATTGAGGTTACCTGCTGGCAAAATGGTACGGGGATAATCTTTTTTCTGGGAAACTTGGTATTAATGTCCTTTGTGGTTGTTTTTGAATTATAGAATAAATGCATGCATGTTTCTAGTGGTAGCTGTGCATTTCTTCATCTTCTGTTTGATAACTTGATGAGTTTTAGCCTCAATCATTAATCAATAAGAAACCTTTATGTTGCTGTTGACAACCTAACCCTGCACACATTCATGTGTATCTATCCAAATATAGTAGAAATAAGTTGGCATTCTCTTTGCCGTTCTCCTTTCTTTACTCAGCAAAGCATTACTTTGGTACTTCCATTCGTCCTCCCTCCCTGTTATCTCTTCTTTAGACCGTCTTCACTCATAACCCATCTCTTCATTTGGGTGTACTGATTATTATTGTTCATATGATATGTTGATGTTTGCATTAGATTTGTGATTTTATTTTAGAATTAGCAAATTTTGTTCTCCTTTTGTATGGCACTTTTAGGTTTCCTGAACGCCGAAGGCTGTATTAATTCACAGACTTCAGACTGGAAAGAGAAAAGAAAAGAGAAAAAAAAACAGTTTCAGAAGCCAGAAGAAACAAGTAGATTCTATTCCACATTCCACCGATTTATAACTGGCCAAAATTTTATTGTTTGGCAAAGATGTCCCAAAAACATTGTTTGGTTCAGTAAGGTGGATGAAGGCAAGATTTGGTTCTGTGCCCACCAGCATTTCAATTCAAATCTCTGTCCCTTTCCTCAACCCAACCCCGACTCTTATTGGAGGTGACATGATATGTTCTGGAGCTAAGATTTTTAGAGGGAAAAGGAAAACAATCGCATAGCTTGAAAAACAAAAAGCTTGCTCCTGTTAGGTTGAATGGCACAAAATCTAACCGGGAGGAAGGACCTGCCATTTCTGTCGGCATTATTTGAATCTATTTGACTATTTTGCTACATGGTTTCATTCATACATGTATTATCGCACTGTTCATACATGTATTATCGCACTGTCATTCTTAAATGGCTATAATGCACATCCATTTTGTTTATCATTGAATTACTTGAGCAAAATGTGGTATGAATTATAACAATGGCACAATCATCATTTTCTGCTGGTAGGTTACTCATCAAGGAAAAATGCCTGCTTTGTTATGTTTTGGATGAGTTACAATGCAAACACTTTATTCAGAAGGTCAACACCGGATGGTGGTTTTATCGGTTTATGGAAGATGTGGTTGTAAAGAATCTTCCTTATGATGATATGCGCAGAGTAGGAAAAATACCAAAAATGTTACCGCATCGACTATTTCCTTTTGCAAGGTTTGAATTGGATATTTGGAGATTTTTATCTCATAATGCATCCACTAGTTTTTTTGTATGTTTCGGATTTTGTATTAGTTAGTATTCTCTTCTTCTATTAGTTATAACATACTAAAACCCTAACCGACAGTTAGGTTGGCTTTTTATTCGACATTTCGTGACAGTTTTCGCGAATGAAGTTTTCTTTAGCAGTAGTAAGTTGTATATTACGATTATTGGTTTTGTGATGTATTATTTAGACAGGCTTGACGTTTGTTTCGTAACGTTTCCGCTCTCAGGTACTCAATCTGGTTAGACAGCAAACTACGTTTACAGCGTGACCCTTGCAACTCCTGGACTACTTCTTGTGGCGAAAAGGTCACGAGTATGCCATTTCTAATCACTTACACTCAAGCATCCTTACAGGATTTTGTGCTTTTATTTTGTTGTTTGAAGTGTTTGGTGTGTGTATGCAGATGTGCCTGAAGGTTCTTTTATTGTTAGAGCACACCCCAATGTCGAATCTGTTCTCGTGTCTTTGGTTCAACGAGGTTGAGCGGTTTACTCCCGTGATCAGCTAAGTTTCTCATATACATACCAGAAATTGAGAAAGATGAATCCCGACAAACCCTTTTATCTAAACATGTTCAAGGTAAAGAACTCTGACAAAAAATGGTTTTGGATTTTAAAATTGAACATCTTATTCATCTCTAGTTTCTTCAATCTAAGGATTGTGAGAGGAGAGCCGTAGCGAAGTTGTTTCGACATAGATCGGATGAGAAGCTGAACGTCCAACAACGGGCAACTGTATAAAACATGTTTATTATCAGACCTTTGCCGTTGAATATGAAAAAGAAAAGAATTTTGTACACTTTCCTTGGCCACGCCGGTTCAATTGCTCATAAAGAAAGTAACAAGTTGCAGCAGTGCTGGTTATCGTGACATAGTATGACAGATTCCGAGGAAATGAGAGAAGCAGATATGAATTTTCTCGAGCTTGGTATGTCGAGCATGGCTCCGTCTGCTTCATTGTTCATCGTTCTTTGTTCTTTTGTTCACATTGATTGCTTCGTCCGTAGGTAATGAAGCACTTATACTAATGTACTTCTTACACCCAAAATGTTGTATTATTGTTACTATCATCAATTTTTTGAACCACTTATGTTTATATCAGTTTTAGTACACCAGAGTTGCTTGGATCCGACCCGAAAATTAAATCTCTCACATGTATTCGACCTGATCTGGGCTTGGGAGAGTCCCACCCAACCCGAAATCCAATTTGATATTGTAAGTCTAAATTTACATTTGACCTGACTTAATATATATATTAAAATTTTCATTTTATAAGGTAAAACAAGGACATAATTAAAAAATAAAATAAAATAGAAAGAGGTATTGTTATAATCATCTCTGAATTATAAGGGATAATTATAATATTATATCGAGTTAGAATGGGTTGGAGTTTTTTATCCTAGACATGACATGACTCCACCTTAAAAAAACCCGATCCAATCAAATCTTAATTTTTAAAATAATCGACTGGACTGAGTTGGAACTTGTCGGGTCCGAGTTAAATGCATCCCTAGCCGCAAGCCTATCAAGCACAGCAAGCCAAGCCATGTATGAATTACCAAGGCATTGTTAGCCTTAAAATCAGTTTGAGAGCCACCCACAACAGGCAGAAGGGCTCTAAGCTTCAGCATCTTCTTCCACAACCAACTCTGACTACGTGTGCCTTGTAACACATCATTACCCTTCAGCCTATAAATCTCCACCCCAAGCCATCCAAAGAGATCATGATTTACTCCAGACAGAACACAAGCTTTGTTCCATGATAATGTCTCATGTCAAGTCTTCATTCTTTCTTTGGTGAACAGGGATGGATTGAGGAGGATAACGGAAGTGATCGTCCCTTAAAAGTTTCAAATTCTAGTATAATTTAGATTTTTTTTTTTAATTTTCTATTAGTAACTTATTTTGTCCCTAATATAAAATCTTTTCTCAAACCTTTAGCACCATTCTTCATTAACAACAACAGAAAAACATAGGCAGAGTTATGCAAACTCTAACCCCTTCTCCGTCAAGCTCTAGTGACTTATCATTCATGGGAAACAAAAGCAGCATTCACCTCCTCTTTTGTCACTTCCTAGTTAGATTTTCTTTCCACATATCAAAAACCAAATGTTCGGTTCATGGTACTTTTAACATCAATCTTATGTTTTGTAATCTAATGTGATGCTCTGAATCTGTTCTTTGAATGGATCGGATCGTGATCGGGGTGTTACAGTTTTACTCTTAGAGACGATATTGTTAGACAAGATAATCACAAACTCCGAACATAAACCGTAAAACGAATATATTAAAAAAAGAATTTCTTATCAATGCAGCTGGTTACAGAACTAGCTGTTTCTAAAACACTTGAGAGCTCTGATAACTTTATATATATAAATCCCAACACAAAATAAGGCTGCAATCTGCAAAATGCCATTTCTGTATATTCCAGTTAACTTCGATCCAATCTCTACAAGTTTCATCCTCATACAGGAGATGAAGATGAAGACCCCTTTGCATTAACCTTCTGCATCTCAAATACCAATGGAGACTCCTCCTTGGGACTAATTGGTTTAGACTCAATGGATCCCTTATTCTTCTTCTTCGCCTTCTTGCCCAACCAACAGCCCTTCGCGAATATGCTCCTCGAATATGGCCTTCTTATACGAACTTCCCATCTGTGAATTAATCCCAAGCTTTGTATCAGTTTACAGAAGAAAATAGCTTATCCTATTCTGGTTATTGTAGTTCATAATGAATGTTACCTGTGTGACAAACGCATATAGGGGCAGGGTACTATAACCGCAGACGAACTGAACGAATACCCTAATAACAACCAAATAAGATCACGTTAATGCTTGAACGTTGAATATGTTATCGGAAACATGGAGAAGTAGTCGAGTTGAAACCGAGTTTGTTTGTTATGTTCATACCCTATGACTAGTCTGGGGATAATGAAACGAACTTGACCCATCATGCATGAGTGGAAACCGTATTGGACCTGTATGGAAGATGAAAAGGTTGTTATTTACTGAATATATGGAGAATGACATGTAGGTAATGTTGCAAGGACATTGTGTATTTTACCCATCCAGGCGAAAAAGGCCATTCAAAAGAATTTTGGAAGAGGATGATGTGAATGAGGCGGAGAACGAGTCGTGGCCTGTTGAACCAGAAATGGTTATCTGAGGGTTGAACCACCAGCTCCCTTCCACCACTATGTGTTTCTCAGCTACCTCTTGAGCTAGTTGTGTGATTATATGCTCCAACTTGGTGCCAACAGCAAGCAAAAGCTGCCAAAGGGAAAACCATTGTCAATACACTATATGCCTGCCTAGCTGATTCAACATGGTACAATAATTCTTAAGTGTTTATTTGAATCACTCACGATGAAGGGAATGAATGCTATCCAAAAATACGTATGCCAACCTGCGAAAGGAACCGAATATCGATTTTTGAGTCAAAATTAACAATCTTCACTGGCTGATTCAGACATGAAACCAGTAACTAACACCATAGTTCATGTCTCATCAAGTGGCAAGTGCTTGTATCTAAGAACAAGACACGTGGGAAAAAATTATTCGGTAACTTACCAACAAAATTCAGCAACAGGAAGATGACAACAAATGCCCAAAGATACCAACTGCAGGTAAGTGATTGATGAAATGAAAGTTTAGCATCTGGTACATGTTGATGAATAGAAACATAGAGAAAGTATCATTCTTCGCCAAAGGTGAGCAATGACATAAAAGCTTATGAGGCTAAGCATATATTGAACTATTTGATTGAAGTTTAGCTGTGTAGGACACAAGAACACTGCAGCTAACATCTTGTTGTCATGAACTGACCTTATCCCGACGACTTTCTTGAAATCGGCTTCGAGAGCACGCATCATGTAGTTGTGAAAATTAAACTTTGGATTTCCCCTGCAATGAGTCTAAGAAAAGAAATTTTGCAGAAGGTGAGGGAAGAGAATTGACGCATTGAAAATGAATAAAAAACAGAACGAAATAAGATTAATTCGATTAACTTACCATGACGAAGCCTAGTCTTAGTGCTATATAATCCGATTTTGTCACAGATCCGTAGAATTGCTTGAAAAAAGAATACTGAAAGCAAATCAAAGCCATTAAAACTATGGTACTGTGTTATTATACCAATGAGTTAGATGATCATGACAAGATCTTGACTTACCACCCATCCTTGTAGCTCTGAATTCTTTCCAATGCGAGGAACCGATTCCGTATAAATCATGTTCTTGGACCTGTGTGATCTTGTTTTCACAACTGCAAAGTAACATTTACATCACAAAATAGCTATAAAAGTTAAAAGTTTTGAAGAATCCCAGAGCTGCATTGTTGATAAAGGATAGGCATATCATACAAGTATATCCTAATGGCCATTGATTCAGATATATAAAAGTTTAGGAATTAGCGATCGGTATTTGGTACCTCCAGTCGGATCATTCCATATCCTTAGTAATTTCCTCCCAACGTTTCCATTGATGGATTGAATCATACGTAAAAGGACATGTCAGAAGGAGCAGAAAGCAATGGCATTAGAATCAGATGAATCAGAGTATTTTAATGGGGAAACTACTTTGTGCTTCCGAAAACAATGGTTAGAGCACAGAAAGTCACATGTACGACCGCCAGCACAAAGATCATATGTAGATGGTGCAACGCTGTGGTCGATAACAATGGAACTTTCTCCTGGATTGAAATTGGACATAATTGCAGTTAATAAAGCACATGGTTTCATTCAAGCCAGAATTGTTAGCATTAAAAAAGGGATACCTTAGCAGCACAGTAGGCAACAGCGGGATCGGAGGCTCAGCAAGAAGATGACGACCGATACCACCGGGGAAGAAAGGAGGAAATAGGGTCTGGAAGTGTTCTTTGGTTACTTCTTTTTTTCCGACAAGGAAGCCATTGATCAGCCAAATTATTTGACATACATATTTTGTTAATTCTCTCTTGGAACACTGTCAGTAACAGTGATATGAATCCCAGCAACAAACTCTACAACCACACACAAAACATTATTTTGTATGCATATCGGCACGACACGAAACCGAATTCCGACACGATTTTTTAGAGTGTTACATACCTTCTTGATCTTCTGCAAGGCCTCAAGAGAGGTTCTGATTTCTCTTCTTCAAGTACTGAAAAACCAAAGGGTCATTGAGACACTTCATCAAACACACACACACATAGACAATGCAGAAATCGAAACATACCTTGCCAAGGAAATGGAGGAGTCTTTCAACAGCAAGGGAAATGAAGACAATGACGAAGCAGACAACAGCCACACCCATGTCGGAGAGTATTCCAAGGTTGTTCCTCTTCAGACATAATTCCCAGATTTTCGATATTCACACGTCTTGTAATGTAAATACCACGTCATTCGATGTGGTTAAGTTTTAACGGTGGGTATCAAATTGAAACATAAATCAAACGTTAGGGATGATTTAAAAAAACTAAAGTTTAAGTATTAAAATGGAAGAAAAGTGATAATTTAGGTACTAAATATGTAGTTTACCCATTTAACTTTTAGTTAATCAAAAATTTAATGCAAAAGATCCAAACAATTCAATTCATTGAGATATGAGGATATCCAAATCAAGGAAAAAAGGGTACCTAGGATTTTTATTAACAAAATTACGTGCTATATTTAATTTTTGACCCTTAAAAATACTCAAAAATATTAAACTCTTATTCGATTTTTTTTGAACAACCATATAATTATTTGAGTAGATATTTTTTTAATAGTCTAGGATGTTTATAATGTAGTATATGTTTAGAATTTTCTTAGTCAACTGACAACAAACATGTACCCTACAAACGTAGTTGCTCAAACATAAAACCTATAGGGAGAATAACATTTCTCTTTTCCACTGAAACCACTTAATGTGTTCTTATTTGTGTAGATATAAACAAAGTTAAATCTTTATTCGATTATTTTAAATGTTAAGCCCTTATTTGAACAATTTCTAAAAAGTTAGACCCTCTTTAAGGGATGTGGGGTAGTTTAATCACGGCAGTGATGACGCCGCCATCACCGCTCATTTTATCTACTTAAACTCAAGTCAATGAATATGTTGATTTTTTTATTAATTTAAGTTGAATACAAGATATTATACATATAAAGATTTTTAATTATTTAATATTCGACGTTTATATCTATACATACGTAATACTCGAATCTAATACTTCAAGAAATAATAACAATTTATTAACTATAAGTTACCATCAACATATTGACTTGAATGTTCATTTACATGTTACTGCGTGCAATTATGCAATTTTGATATATATATTGGTTTTATATGATATAATTTAATATATCTTAATTATTAAATATAATCCATATACAAATAAATTATTTGCGTTACTTAAATACTTGTTAATATTATATTTTAGTATGTTTTCAGAACCGGACCGGTTAGCGAACCGGTCATGCTATCAGTTCACTGGTTCAATCGGTCGAATCGGTCCGACCGGTCGAAAGAACCGGACGACATCATAATTATTTAAAAATTAAATAAAAATACCAAAAATATTTAATAAAAATAATTTTTTTATATCACAAGTCATATTCAAAGCCAGTCATAACATATAAGTTAAAACCATAAAATCAAGTGAAACAAAATGATTCAAATTAACTACAACATAATATTTAAGGTAAAACATATTAAATAATAAATATAATTATATAACTATAATTAAAAAATAAATTTGGGGCTAAAAAAATCATAACAAAATGATGTTGTTTGGTTTAATTTTTTTTTTAAAAAACAATCCCACATGACTAAGAAACATAGAAGAGCATCCCAAAAGTCTAAAGAGTAAAAATATGAGAACAAAACAATACCACATTGCTAAGAAACATATAAGAGCATCACAACTAACTTCTATAAATAATAAAGGTAATTTGACATTCAAAATCATGGAGCTTTTTGGTGAGCATTGAGTGAACTATTCTTTCACTTCAATCAAGCTTGAATTTTAGGCTTCAATTGAGCTTCTAATTTTTTTAGTTCAAGCCTTTTTGAGTTCAAGTTTCAATATTATATTTCGAGTTCGAGTTGAACTTTATAATTTTTAACTTGTGAGTTTGAGTGGAGTTGAGATTACTTTTAAAGTTTTCAAGTTCGAGTCGAGCTCAGCAATACTCGAGTTCGACTTGGCTCGTTTAACAAACGACGTTTGGTTTAATTTAAAAAAAAAACAAAATTTTTGGTTTTTTCCGGTTTTCAGCCGGTCCGGTTCGAACGGTTCAGCGGTTCTAGTTGGTTCACTAGTAGAGGTTCAATCGGTTTAGATTGAACCGGACTAGGTAACGGTTCCTGATTGAACCGGTCGGTCCGGTCCGGTTTTCAAAACAATGTATTTTAGGATGAAAGAAAATATTTTATGTGAAAATATATATATATATATATATATATATAATTTTAGATTTATTTAATAATAATCTTAACAAATTATATATTATATCAAGAACAAGTTCAATATTTAAAATATACTGTTCACCTTTTCATTATTATTTAATTGTATTTTTATTTAAAACTATATTTAATTGTTTTATTTATAATTATAATTTCATTTGAATATGTTTTTTCTTTATTAATATGAGATGAGTATAAAGTAATATATGTTTAAAGACTCTTAACCATTTAAGATTGAACACACGTACCCCTAGAATACATGATGCTTGAAATCGGAACCTCAGAGAACTATAACAACTCCTTAATCATTGAAGTCGCTTGATTCGTACTCATTTGGAAATATTAAATATAAAAGTAAATATTTTTAAATAAAAAAACTTAGTAATTATGTTTGATAAGAAACTTTAAAAACTTAATGATATCGTTTGTGAAAATTACATATCCAAATAATTAGATGAGATAATTCAACAGATGGCCCCTAAATTAATCTTATTTTAAATTGATTCTTAAACTTTAAAATGTTTTTATATTAAGATAAAATTATGACTTCTATTCTATTGATTCCTGAATCTTAAAAATTTCTTTATCACTCCTCAAACTACATGTATCATTCTTCTTTTAATCTTTCTATTAATGTGTCATTAACTACACTAATTAAAAAAATTTATCTATTTTTGAATGTCTTGTGTATTGAACCCGTAACTTTATAAAAAAAATTTTAAGACTTCTAAAAATAAATTAATTTTTTATAAGTTCACAAGTTCAATTTGAATGACCTTTAAAAACATGTTAATCTTTTTAATCAATTGAATTAACGACACGAAACAGAATATTCAAAATAAAATGATACAGGTAGTTTAAGAATTGATATAAAACATTCTAAAATAAATGAGTCATAATTTCAAGACTAAAATAAAATATTTTAATATTTAAAAGTGAATTTAAAATAAAAATAATAGTATGAGGACCTCTTGGATCAAAAGTGAAACTTCAAAGAACTATGATGAGCCCATACCCAATCAAGCCTAGCAGTCAAGCCCAAATGTTTTTTTTTCCTATTCAACATCAAACATCATAACTCGGGTATTTATGGTCGGTTAACCGCACCGTTTAGTCTAGATGATTATAACGGTTTCTAATTTTTTTAATCTTAACTTAGTCATTAAAATAATTAACCGTTAATATTTACTCGTTATTAACGGTTCAGTTACAAGTTAATCGGAGGTTAACCTATTATAATTTTTTTGATCTTAACCTAGTTATTAAACTTTATTTCGCACTAAAAAATTTGAGGTTTGAGGTTTGAGAAAGATGATGTAATTCTATATTTAAAAAAAATATTTATGTAGGGTTTCCTTTAAAATATAGGAGGTAGAAATTATGATTTAAAATTTAAATTTTAAAATTTTAGGATCTAAACTCAATATTTTTCTCTTCTATTTATTCAATCTATAAGAGAAATTCGAAGTTAACTCTTTGTTTTGTACATTTGAGATTGAGTTCATAATGAGAGGTAATAATTTTTTTAATAGTCTGGAGTGATTATAAAGTAGTATATGTTTAATTTTTTCTTAATTATCGACTAACATATATTTACAAACGCAGCTGCTTATACTCGGAACCTTTAAAGAGAACAACGTTTTCTTTAAGATATCAACTGAAAACTTTTAACCACATGCTTGAGATATTATTTCACATCATATTAAAATATTCTAACTTTATATAATCCCACTAATATGTGGAAAATGGGATCAAACATTCACAATAATTTAGAACATTGCCTTATATATATAAAAAGATTTCTAATTGCGTGACAATTATTATAATAATACGGTCACGAAACAATTTATTGACAATAACTAGCAATAGATTTCAATAGATATGAAGAAATATCGAATAATAAGTTGATCTGGTGAGATGAGACATTATATTGTTTAAACAAAGTCAAAATTTATAATATGATATTTACAAATAGAACAAACTAGTCTAGAAAGGTCACATAATAATGATTACAACATTGTATAATGTGACATAACTGAAAGGATCAAATGGTATATCTCTCCTTCTCTCTAGAGGAATTATTTGGGAGGGGTCACCATCTTTGAAGACAATTAGTTTGGTGGAAGAGATTATCCCTTATGATCTACCTAGAGCGTTTAACTCGAATTTAAATTGGTATAAATTAATTAATATATAAATACTGAAAAATTATAAAAAAATATTTTATTTTTTATTACCTTTTTAATAAATAGAATTAATAATGTTTAAAATTTTATGAATCAAATATTCTTTAATATACCGAAAAATAACATTTGATTCAATGAAGAAAATAATACTCCTACAAGAACAGAGGAGAATCCTCCATGAAAGTCACCAATCAGGGTGTGTTTGGTTCATAGAATGTAAGATTACTGAGAATGTTGTATTTTATGTTTGGTTGGTTTAGCAGAAATGTAATATTATTGTGTTTGGTTAAAAAAATAAAAGATTATTGGAATGTATATTTGATCAAATTGTCCTTATTATATATTTATTTTTTAACAAGTTGGAAAATATTTGTATATTTTCTTTAAAAAATTTAAATTCATAAAATTTGTATTTTTTTTACAAAATTGAAAATATAAAAAAGTTTAATGAAAGGGTAAAATTTTATTTTAACCCATGAATTTCATATATAATTTTAATTATAGATTTTTTTTGTAAATCTAAAATAATTTAAGAATAAATTTGTAATTTAACATTCGCAGAATTTTTATTATTCAATGATAGAATAATGATATTTTTGAAGAAAAAAAATTTAAGGGCATTTTAGTTTAAAACGCCGGAAATCCAACAATACATAAGGAAAATGAGATAATGACATTTCCAGTAATATATCCAAAAAAATCTACTATTGGTAATAAAACACTACTGTAATAAGTTTTCATGTCAACCAAATATGAGAATGTGGATTCTATTCCCATGGGAATCCCACATTCCTTAAACCAAACAACCAATAGGATAAAGCTTCTCCATCGTCACTGCGTGCGTATGCATTTGATGTTAAATATGATGGCTTGCTTTAGGCGTGCCGTGACATGGCTTCACCTTCAATATGCACCGTTTATTTCTACAATTATTTTATATAAATAGTATACAATTACTTTAAAACTGGATTATAATTATCTTTAACATTTTGAGTTCGAAATTACATATGCACTGATGTACGATGTTTATTTTAAACAATTAAGATTTTTTTAATAGATATTACTTTGTATTAATCATAGACTTACAACAATATTTTTAATCAATATCACGTTAAAAATAAAAACTATTTTTTATAATCATCAATATTCAATCTATTGATTAATTAATCAGATAATCTAGCGCGACAATCTATTATAAAAGAGAGTTTCACATATTTACAATATCAAATTTTAAATATTGTATCCTTTCAGAAGATTTAACGACAGAGTAATTGCATTTGTAGGGGTTTGTATACCTCGTTAATAGTCTTTAAATAGATATTACTTTATAATCGTATCATAAATTATTCTCGAAAAATATTCGATTTAGTGATGGAATAAAATGGCATGGGAAAGGATTGGGGGAGTTTGTTGGATGAAAGGCAACTCATTCATCTCCCACCAACTCAACAACTTGGGGTTGGAATTTGGGGAGGGGTCTACAATTCGGACCACCATTGTGCATCTGTCCATAATTTTAATAATTGTGTCCCATGTATGATTGTTGCCATTATTTGGTTGGCTCACACATCATCATGTTGGAGTTGGAAAAATCACGTGTCGAAATTTGGAGTTTTTACTTCAACAAAAACATTATATAAAAGGGAAAGCGAAATTGAAAATATAGTTGGAGTTAGCCTAAAGAAAAAAAATATATAAAATGATTAATTTATTAAATGTTAGGGGATTTTTTTTTGTTTGAAATGAAAGTTAGAAATCTAAACGTTTTAAAAACTAGAATAAGGGATAAAATAAGTATTTTATGGACATTAAGGACTAATTTTAATATTATACCAAAAGAAAATGTGGAATCTACATGCACACTCACCAGCCACCACCTTTGTGCGGTAGAAAGTGGGGAAAGAGGGTCCTAGAACCTGGAGCTGGCGTAGTTCCTGTCACCCTTCCTTCACAGTCCCCAATAAAATACCAAAATTAAATAAATAAACTAATAATACAAATCCTTAGCAATAATAAATATATTTAGGTTAAAGTATATAAATGAGTACTCAATTTTGATAATATTTTTTTAGTGTTTTGATTATTAAAAGTTATAAAATAGTACATCGTCTATAAGGTATTACTTTATTGAGTTTCTCGACTATTAAAATTATAAAATAATATTATTTTGTTATATTCCAAATTCTTCATTTTTCTTTAAAAACGGTAGTCTGAACATGTTAACTGGGATATGATAGTTGTTTGAGATTATGAGATCATATTTTATCATATCTCAGTCAGCACATTAACGTCTAGTTCAAACTTTGGCAACTTTTTAACCAAAAAGACGAGTTTAGAACATATAAATAGTCAGATGACCATTTTGTTACTTTTAATAGTCGGAATACCCAACAAAACAATACTTTATAGTTAATAAATTATTTTATAACTTTTAATAATCGAAATATTCAACAAAATAATATTCTATAATCGAAAAACTACTTTTATACTTCACCGATAAGTTTAATGATTTTAATTTAATTTGATGACATCTTCTATTTTTTTAATTTTGGTCCTATTATTCATCAAAGAAAAAGGTCAATTAAATTTGTTGCATGTAATGGGTCCCTTCCACTCTTATGAGTCTTTTGTCTTCATTTAGCCTCCACCCTCCTTTGTCCAAACCTTAAGATGATGAATTAAATGAGGGGTAAATTACATATTTAATTATTCTTAGCAGTGATGTAGTTTATTCTTAGGGTAGATATGTATCTATTTTGAAATTTGGTTTTTTAGTTAATTATTCATTTTATTGATCATATTTATTTTAAAATTTTATTTGTGTCTATCCCATATAAAAATTTTATTTTATTAATATATATGTGTTCACCCTAAAAAATATTTCTAGATTCATCACAGACTATTATTGTAATTTTGTTTTGGTCACTCAATTTGGTTTTTAAAAATCACATCTAATGTTATTGATTGAATAGTTGAGCACTAAAATAATTAGTGATTAAATGCGTAATTTACTCTTAAATCATTAAAGTTTTAAGCCACCAACTAAACCCAAATCAAACCATCAAAAAGTTTATTGATTGATTGGGTTGACTTCTCCTTGTCTTTGTCTTTGCTTTTACCCCACTTAACATTAGCAACTGTAATCTCTCTTCTTTGTTAAACAGAAATATTACAGTAACCATTGTTCTGAACCTCATTTTGCAGATAAATTGGGTGGGGTCCAAGTTTATTTCTCCTATTCTCCATCTCTCTTTAGAACCTTGAAATTGGAACCAACAGCATCTGAAGCTATCTTGAATATGGTATGTTCTCTCTTGGTTAATTTTATTACCCTTTAGTTTAAAGTTTTGATTTTTAAGCTTTGGTAGCTCAAAAAATTGGCCTTCCCCCCCCCCCCTTGTGTGGGTATTTAGGAGCATGATGAGATGTTTTCTGAAACTTCAAAAAGAGTTTTGGGGATTTTGATTCATTCTAAGGAAGGTTTATGGGATGTTGAGGTTGTTTTACTGTTTTTCTGCAACTCTAAAGAGAAAAAAGGCAGTTTTTTGTCATTTTAATGGTGGGAAAGGAAAGGGGTTGCTGGATTTCATGATTAAATTTGGTGCGTGAAATTTGATTCTTGTTTCCTTGCATGTTTATGGTACCAAAATAGTATTCTATCTGGTGATTGTTGTTGAAATTTGTTGGAAATTTGCAGATTTGAGTACAAATTGGATCTTGATATCAAGGCCAAACAATGGATCATAAAGAGGGGAAACACACATGTTTTACCAGTTTCAGCACTCAAAATCAGAAGAAATGGGAGGATCCCTCCATTTTGGATTACAGCAGGAGGATTGAAGCACCTTTGCAGTGTGACCCCAATGCCCAAATCAAACTCCCTGACCCTCTCAATGAGTTGCTTCAAGCCAGCAAAGTCCAAGACTGGGATCCAACTACAATGCTAAACAATCTCTCTTTCTTGGAGCAGAAGATCCATCAACTTCAGGGTCTGGTGCATTCAATCATTGGAAGAAGGGGTCAAGTGTTGGGGCAAGTTCAACCAGGTGAATTTGTAGCTCAGCAGCAACTGCTGGTCACTGCCGATCTCACTTCGATCATCGTTCAGTTGATATCGACCGCCGGTAGTCTTTTACCTTATGTTAAGCGTGCACAGAGTGCACACTCACTATCTCTTGGACATTTTCAGCCACAAAATGGTGGTGGTGGTGGAAGCGGTGTCTCCGAGCTGCAAAACTCTGTTGATTTTAGTACTAATGTGGAACATGAATTGAAAGATGAGGAAGATGGTGAGGAATTAGCGGAGAATCTTTTTCCAGGGACATATGAGATATTGCAGTTAGAGAAGGAGGAGATCCTGGCACCCCACACTCATTTCTGCACCATATGTGGCAAAGGATTCAAGCGAGATGCAAATTTACGGATGCACATGAGAGGGCACGGAGACGAGTATAAAACGCCGGCAGCACTCGCGAAACCCAACAAAGAATCCGGCTCTGAACCGGCCCTCATCAAGAGATATTCGTGCCCTTTCGCAGGTTGCAAGAGGAACAAGGATCACAAAAAGTTTCAGCCTCTTAAAACCATCTTGTGTGTCAAGAACCATTACAGGAGAACCCACTGTGACAAGAGCTTCACTTGCAGCAGATGCAACACCAAGAAATTCTCGGTCATCGCCGATCTCAAGACTCACGAGAAGCATTGTGGTAAAGATAAATGGATTTGCTCGTGCGGCACGACATTTTCGAGGAAAGATAAACTATTTGGTCATATAGCTCTCTTCCAGGGACACACTCCAGCAATCCCCTTGGATGACACTAAAGATTCCAATGGGACATGTGATCCGGGCAATAGTGGTGAAGCCATGAATAAGGTTGAAAGCATGAATATGGTCAACTTTTCGTCAAGTGTGAATGTTAAAGGGAGCATCGACGATTCTGCCGGTTGTTTCTCACCGTTGAACTTTGAGACATGCAATTTCAGTGGGTTTCACGAGTTCCCTCGACCACCATTTGATGATTCAGAGAGTTCATTGGCATTTCTCCTTTCAGGGTCTTGTAGTTACACTCAAGAGACTGGAGAATAATAATAACAAATAACAATAATGTTGGGTGGTCTTGGCTATTGTCTCTGGACTAGATTTGTATTGTAAGGCAGGCTTTATGTAATTAGTTGTTTAAATAAAATGCTAATTCTAAGGAAAAGAAAGTCCTTCGTTCGTTCTTCATGCCGAGGCCCGAATATGAAAATCCAATCCGGTCAACTTGAGCAAGTAATAGGAGATAACCAGAACCTGAAATAATCAAAATTCTAAAACAAGTTGAAGTTGGAATGGCCTGAGCAAAATACAATCCGAACTCGAAATTGACCCGAACAAAAATGACTTTAAAACCCAAATTGAATGAAAAGTAGTACTAAAATGAAAGTTGACGGAAATATTTGTCTATATTGGTGTTAAAACCAACTCCTTTGAATAGGTATGTTTCGGCTGCATGAACCAGCCAAGCTAATCTCCGGATTCTTCGAATCGGCTTTCTGCCATCTTTTTCTTGTCACCAATTTCCAGCTTCTCATCCTCTTTCTCAGTCCCGATTTTCCTTATGCAGTTGATAAATGCACATGCTATTGAACTAGGAGAGGGCAGCAATGCACCACCAGCCCATTTCAGTCCTGCTTGTTGCGGGAAAGCCTTGCACGGTGTCTGAGTTCGGCCTTTTTCCAACGAACTATTAGGTAACACTGCAAAACAGAGTGTTTATCTGCAGAAAGTAGCAGGTTTAGAGAAAGGGGGTAAAAGTTTTCATAAAGGAGGACAAAGAATGAGTTCCTCACTGACCAAGATGATGATGGCAATAGTGAGAAGAGGTCCGGACCAGAGCACCGATAAGAAAAGTCCACTTGGTTCAAAATAGTTTTGGGTTGCAAATTTCTTCCAGTTGTCACCAAGTAATCTATTCAGTGACTCGGCAAAATATACACCAAGCACTACAAAATCATAATCATGCAAATAAATTAGAATTGCAAAGTATATTAGAAATCAATAGTACTGGATATATTGATGGAAAGTAAACAGTAGTTTTGTCTTCTTATGCTTATGTGCCTTCGGATCCAGCTCACTGCTTTGGAATGGTTGTTGACATAGGCAAGTTTAATACTAAGTTACTGATGGTTACTCAGGTAGGGCAGGTAGATTGTATTTACTAAGATTTGTTAATCAAAATTTCCAACAGTAACAAAAGTAAATACATGAGTAAGATCTGTAGCCCATTAATGGATATAAACTCGTTCTCTCGTGATTCCTTTAATGGCAAGACGACCCCTTGTAGGCTTAAAACCATCTATATGTATGACAACTTCAGAAATTTCAACTTTGTTTTGTGCTACATCGACTCTATAAATGGTTCACAATGGAAATTTTATAACGAATTCCGAAATGTTCAGTCCTATTTCTTTGATTCCTTGCTTGAAGTAAAGAGTAATTAGAAGGTACCCTGTAAGGAAGATTTGCTACTTTATTTTCCATATCTACATGGCTGACTACCAAGGTTACAGACTTACGGGGCTTGGGGCCAGGAGCAGAGCAAGGAAGTGTGCGTGCCCTCACATATGAAGATGAACACAGGTTCTTTAACCTTTCAAGTCATCTACTATTATTATTTGGAACCAGCAAGAGTTCTTTCAGGTAAATCTCATCCATTTGATCGACACCTCAAAGACTAGGCTTCTATCTCCAAATCACCAACTTGGCATGCGACAATTTGATTATATTCCTATGATGCAAAACAGGTCATATATAATTTCTAGGCCAGCTGTAGAATGAGACAACTATATTTTGCTTCACAATCTATATGTTTTACTCACTCTCATTACTTCTGCGTTTCGATCACTGGTCATATATCTGCAAGGTATCACATTGCCCATCTAATATGAAGTATATGTATCAAATATATGCATCAGCATGTATCCTTCTCACATCTGGAATTTCAGATTACAAGACTACGTATTACCGTAAGACGTAAGACAAAACGAGTAATTAAGACATCAGAATTCATCAGGAACTTTAAATAACCATGGCCTAACGAAATATTGTTAATGGGATGGAAGCTGTTAAATTCTATTCAATGTCCTGGAATATCTACCACCTGATTTAAGATTAATAGCAAACTACTGGGCCAACTAATTATGATATATTAAAGTGCAATGTTATGTGTCATTAATCATTCATGATTCAACCAAAAGAAGAAGGCTTATTTACGAAGCTTCACATTTAAATAAAGCAAGTAATCAATATGATTAGTAACAACTATCATAAATACAAAAAGGAAAGATCGAAGACTCTTAGTCAAAATACTCGTATGTGTACAATGATTATCGATAACACATAAAGCGATAAACTTACATGTCAGAAGGAACAGACACATCTGGAAATTAGTATTCTTCCTGGAGAAGATTGTTGTTATCAGTAAGACAACATGGAATGCCAGTAAGGACATCAACCATGGTTCCTGCAAAAAGAGGGCGAAAAAGTGAGAGAACTGTTCTCAATAGATGGCGGGTCATGAACTCAAGCAATAAAGAACCATAACATTTTTAGAGAAACATATATCCATGGTTCACAAACCATGTTCATCATCTTTAATTAGAAAACCACTTATCAGGAGAGATTTAAAGAGTGATCTTTTCCGGAATAACGGCCATTATATAACGGTAACTGTAACGACTGAAACACTTGTTGCATAACCACAATACCGCAATGACCGCGATGCTATTGCAGTCCTTTAACCGACACTAACACTTAGAAATTCTAGAACCAACATTAGCACATTTTCATATGTTAAAAGCTCCGAATTGAACCCTCGCCTCCCGCGATCTGAGTTTCACCTCGAATTCTTGGAAACAATTAGAAACAAACAATATATAGTGGGAAAAGAGAGGAAGCGGACCTTCCAGTCGATGGCGTGGAAGAAACCGATGAAGTTATCGTAAGCGGGTCGGATACCAGATCGGATCTCCGACGATAGCTTTTGAACTAGATCCGACATTAATTCCATGTGCCCCTCCATAGCTGATCTCAACTCTTCCATGCCTTCTTTTTTTATCAGATTCAGATCTCAAAAGCTCAAAACAAATATTACGTACATCAAACGGTCAGTAAATGGAAAACGAGATCGGCGGACAGCGGAGTCTTTGGTTTTATATATACTTTGCAGTTTCTCTCTCGACTTACGTAGAAGAACGGTAGCCGAGAGAAAGGATGAAGAATTGCGGGATTTTCTGGGTTTTATGATGAATTTGCGAAATATTTGCTTCATTGTTTATTTGGGCTTAAATTCTGGTACAAGTCCCTATACTTTTCATGTATTTAAAATTAAATTTATATTTTTTAAATTGAAAAACTCAAATCCAATTTTTAATACCGTCGATATATTTTCTTTAAATTTGTTGATTTGATGTTTTAAAATTATAAATTTTATTTTGGGTTAAATTTTGATTCAAGTCCTTCTACTTTTCATACATTTAATATTTAATCTATATTTTTAAAATTTAAAACTCAATATCTAATTATTAATATCATTAATATTTTTATTAAGTTTGTTTATGTGAATTTTAAAATTAAAAAATTACTAACTCTATAGTCATGAAACCCAAAAATATGATGTTATAATAGACTTGAATTTAATAAAAAAATCTAACAATATTAATAATTTAATTTTTAAAATTTAAAAATAAATATTGAATTTGTAAAAATAAAAGAAAAATGACTATATTTTAAATATATGAACAACATAGAACCTTGGAACATAGTTTAACCTTTATTTGGAGTACGCTTTCATCCTTGAGACATTTTTTTCTAATTAATCCTTGACACAATTTTTTTTCTAATTAATTTGAGATGAATATAAAGTAGTATATGTTCAAAGACTATTAATTATTTAATATTGAACATTTATACTCTTACATACGTGGCGCTTGAATCCAAAAATTTTAAAAAATAATAATAATTTTTTAAACACTAAGATCACTTTATTCGTGTAAATTTTTATCGATGTATTATATTATAATTATAATGTATATTATCATGTTATGATTGCGGATGTTACACAACATATAACAATTATGTTTATGTGATTTGTTTATTAAATTTTCAATTTTTATTTTTTTTCTCGAATGATACGCTGATTTTTTATTAGATCAAAGGTAATGTACAAGAAAGATAATATAATCCTGATATGAAAATTTAAAGGCCATGAAGAAAAATAAATTCAAAATCTTCTTTTGAATACATGATTCATCTTCTAAAAAACTTCAACAATTATCAATAATCTCTCGTCTCTATTCGAACTTACACATAATATTAATGTAGACATAGAGATTGAGAGAATTAATTTGACAGATAGTTTCATGAATAATTTTAAATATATTAATAAATTGACGTAAAATATAATCTATCTATACAAAACCATCAATCTTTCTTGATCAAATGGTACAACGTACCAAATACAATATCAAATAATCTTATGAACTTTTGAGGAAGATTTAGAAAGTGTCATTTGTTAGATAATCGATTTAATTCCATCAATCGATGTTATATTTTAAAGTGTTCAAGTTCGATTTAGTTCACATTTAAATAATGTTAAAAGCACCCTATATAGATGGTTCACACGTCTTTGACACACAAAACATGTAGAAAAATACAACATTAGTTACCTTACCCTACCTTGCAGCTGAAGCTTTCTTCAGTTTCTTCCTGTTAAAGATGCGGAGAGCTGAACTTAGTATTGGCAAACTTGTGCTCATGTCAATGTAAGCCAGTAACCACATCGATTTTCCGTTATGATGGAAAGATGACTCAACCATCTTTTTGTCGTACGATCACATCGAACGACTTGATGCGTTGCAGGCTTGAAGATTCTCCCGAAACCTCACAAATGCTGCTGCCTGCAACTTCCGACTTTCCTTCTGCCAACTGCTGTTTTTGTTCCGATGCTAAAACCACCGTTTTATCGTGAATATTCCGAACTTGGCGAAGTGTTCGACTACTTTGTTTTCCGCATGCTCTTTTACCAACTGCAGCCACCATTCTGTCTTCTGCAATGTTCACGTATGGACCCTGATCGACGATGATTCCATCGAGACCTCCCGTGCTGAAGTCTCTGTCTGCAAATGCATCAAGACTACTTCATACACCTAGGAAGGGCAATTTAAATGCAATGAACATGAAAGAAGCAAACCTTGTTTATGTGCATATGTGGATTAGAGTGAAGTACATCGAGAAATTCATCGGCGGCCCTAACCCACCTGCATAGTTAAAAGAAAAAAAAGTACATGCCGTAACACGTCCGCCATTCGACGTCTGAAGAAATTTCTTGAAATTCTTTTATCATGGGAAGCCTGATATAGCATCAATTGATTTGAGAAACATGTTAAACTCGTTAGTTACGTACTAACGTGAAGCTATGAATTACCAGAGCCTGGATGCAGTTATTCCCTCGAAAAATGCCAGATGCCCTCCATGTCGTGATGTGGCCAACACGATATTTTTATTTGCCCTGTTAAAGACGGATTTACATGATCAGTTGCTCAAAATAACACAAGAAACTCGAAGATAGCACTCAGCAGAGCATGTTTGCAAGAGCTCCACCTGCATTCATCCCAAGGAATATCTTCTCTTGCACAGATGGGATCGTCTAGAGAACCGATACAGAGCAACTGCACCGACACATTTTGCACATAGGGAGAGCTGCTAGAAATCCTATAGTAGGTATCCACAGTCTGAGAGAACAGTATGATACTTTTGGTAACTCGAAATATAACAGCAAAGAAGAAACAATGGATGAAGTTCCAAATGGTACCTCAACTTTTCCAACAAGGCATGTAGCAAAGTAATCGAAATCTCGAATCGAATGCGACTATTGAAGGCCAAAAGGATAAACCATCGAAGTGTAAGATCTAAGGAAGAGAAGCATAACAAAATAACTTGAATGGAAATTGACACTTCTCGTGAAGTACTACCGAAGGTGATAAGTGATAACCAACGAAGTCGGCAGCAACGTAAAGGAGGTAACGTCGAAAAACTATGTACTAGCAGTAAACATAAGTATGCAAGTTGTGAAAAAAGGGGAGCAAAGTTCAGAATCCAAAAGAACAGCATGTTTTCATTTTTGGATCTATATTATAACCATCCTAGTGAAAATCCAAAATAAAGAGGGTCTTCATATCAAAATAAAAAACCGACCTTTTTTTATTCCTTCCCAATTAACCAATTGAGAATAGCGAGGATCATGCCTACAATAAACATCGAGCTCGAAACCGGTTACTAGGACCGCCATTCAGGATTCAAATCTGTCAACTTATTCGAGGAAAGCAGAGAAGACGTACATTTTTGCATAACCTTGAAGGCCAATTGCTATGGCTCTATCATATAACTTCTGAAGTAGCCTGTGGCATATAAACCTGTCACCGATCTGCATAATATTTAACCAGATGATGAACAATTGCAGATTCATATGGATGAACACATATCCAGCTATGACGTCAAAACACGAGTAACTCGATGCGGCTAAAGCAGATATAGCATTATAACATGTAATGGAACTTTGAGAAATTGCTTCCATAATACTTTTTCCACTTAAAAACCTCAAAAGACAATAGCTACATTTTGGTATAGATAAAACACTAACCACAAGGTCCCATGGGGAGCAAACAGCAACTGCTCCAGTTACAGGTACTTTCTCCCTATCCTCTCCGAGATATTTCACCTGTCGAAAATAATTCGTACTACAATGTCAAACGGCCTACAGAAAAACTACTTTTTATCTTTTTATGTGGAAATCATACAGCCGTTTATAGGACCAATAGGATGGACTTCAAACCAACTTATTCCAATCTAAATAAGCTGAAAAGAGGGAATTCACAAGAATCAGAGATGCTAAACATTTGTTTCTTTTAAAAAGACGAAGAAATATCCTATACATCGACAGTGAATAACTGGCATATGACATAGACGAGACCAGTGGTCGACGTAAATCGAGCAATAGAGTTCGTAATAAAAAAAATCCCAAAGAAAAAGAATTGCAGACCAAGTAACACACCAGAATCTTGGCACCAATGCTAGTTCCAATAGCAAAATAAAGGAGCCTTCGGGTACTGATGATGGAGATAATCAATGACTGCTCGGGCATCCTCTGTGCAGCCAGCATTATAAAAGCAATCAGACTGCAAAAGTGTTATTACAAAATACATCATTAAAGAAATAAATCTATTACACATTAGCAATGCTAAGTTTCATAAAAATCATGAAGAAATTATTAGTATTAACAGAATGGTTAAGTGAGGGCTGATCTTTATTCGACTTTACGATAGCTCTTAACATCTCCAAAATTTGCCAGAGGAGGTACAAAACACCTCAGCTTTTAACCAATTAACTATAGTTTTCATTCATAAATCATACATACATCTTCATTGGAGCATGGCATACAGGCCAAATACAACCTAATTCTATTTTAATCAGACACGGAATTCAGCGCTATATACAGGTACGGTAAACTTTTTTCGAAGTATGTCCATTTGGTAGGAAGGACAGATCCCCATAGCTCTTGAATATCTATCAGATACAGGTATTTTAAGGAAAATGAAACATCTGAGAATCATAGGCCTAATTGATCTACTATTATCAGGTTGAATACCTAATGTTATATCCTTTTTTTTTAATCAAACTATTACTGCATTTCGATCAACCGTCCATGAACTTCATTGTTTGTAAAGCTCATTAGTTAAACAAAAAACCAAAGTATTTCTCAATGTTGATTGATTTCACTGGCCAATAGAAAATAGTTATATGGAAGTTCAAATGTCCAGTAAAATTCCTACTCGAACAGACTAACTGGAAAAAGAATACATAGAACACATGTTTAGTGAGCTGAAGCTAGGAGGGAACATAAAAGAAAATGGACAACTCACAGTAATCGAAACGCCACCGAGTCCTTGGTGGTTGCTAACAACAACATTCCATCCATGTTTTGCGAATCCAAATGCAAGGTGCTTGATGTACTGCCATAAGAATTATATAAAGAAAACTCCAATTTAGTAAACTATATTCCACAACAATCTCTTTAATAGTGAGATTATCAAACACATTAAAAGTAAGAACTTTTATTAAAAAAAACCATGAATTTTTTAGTAGCTCCTATCATATATCACCCAAGAGAGAAAAAGAAGACATTAAATCTTCAAAACTTAACCTTGCATAAAATACTAAAAGATTCCAAAAAAAAAACACAACAAATCTAGAAGTCTTGCACTTTCCATCAGAACTTGTGAGCCAGTCTAGAGCTATGGTTCCACCATCAGAAGCATGAAAAAGTTGTCTGAGTAAACATAGACATACAAGTATTTGTGAGATAAAAGCACGTGGACCAACATATATATATGCTTTCGTTCCAAATCAAAAACATCCTAAGAGAGAGCAAAGTGGAAATTTTGGGACCTGCGGCAGCTCAAAGCTGGAAGGTTCCCCAAGAAATTGAGGAAAGCAGTCTGAAAATGAGGACTTGATAACCATGGGGTCGCTAAATACCTGCAATGATTTACCAATTCACAACAAAACAAGATCATGGTTCAAAGCGAAAAAACCTTTTATGTACCTCTGGAGACACTCTCCGAAAACCTCCCAATCTCCTAATACTTCATCAACAATTAATCTTTACACAGGCCTTCTCTTGCTGAAGTCCTTAAAAACTTACGTCCTCAAACACAAACTTTAAAGTCAACTGCAGTGCATAGACGAGAACTAAAAATGACGTCTGACCACCAGATCTTTCTGTCTACAAATAGTTATAATCTGACAAGCACACTAAACATCAGATTCAGACCCACTGTAAATACTACAATCGAGATTGGAAAGGGTATGATGAACTACTCATATCCAGTGATCCTCTTTCTTCCTCCTGATAATCCATCTCTTCTTTTTCAAACACCAACGAACAGTCATTCTCTCATCGACAGTATCGACCGTGAATCTTCATCTAAACTAGACAGTTGAATCTCCCACGACCCACGATATCATCTTATTCTTATCAACAAAACCAAATTTGAATGTAAAACCAGGAAAAGATTGAAAAAAAAGGTACCTGCCATGAAGGATCCGACACTTGGAAACCACGCCATTGTAGATATGGGAAATCGGGTGAAAGGTTAAACCAACAGGAGCACCTCGGAATCTCGAAAAAAAATCTTCGAAGAAATGAAATTCCAGGAAATTGTAAAAGAAAACTACCCATACCAGCATACATGCCAGCACATAGTGCCAAACGGCAATCGAAGAAAGGGCGGCGAATAGCTGTTTTTATGCATTGAAGGTAGATTCAACCATGAAATCAATCAGTCCATGTCCATTTGACTAAGCTTTGGAGAAAACATCAATGGTTAAATCATATAAAACTTGGGAGTTTGGGAGAATAAGCATTTCATGCAGAAAAAATTCAAAAAAAAATGTCGTCCTTTTCTTTTTAATGGGTTTCCAGTATTCATGGAAAGAGTGAAAGTAGGAGAGAAATATGGAGGAATTTACTTTTGGTTTTCTATTTGGATGGAAAATGGTGGCAGTTGAGAATTTGGTGTTGGTAGGTGAGAAATTTAAGTGCATTAATGTCGAACAATGGCATCATCATCAATCATATCCCAATTATGAGAAGATAAACAACATAAATTGTAATGAGTAGAAAACATTCACAGCTCTTTTGATTGCCAATTGCCAGCAGCTGAGAGCAAGGGCTTTTGACCATAATTGTTTAGAGTGGCCTGAAATGGAGAATATGATCACTTTCTCCTAATTGATGAAACAAAGCATTCAAGAGAACTTTGCTGCCCCAATTGAACAATCTTTCATGGTCCTAGTTGGTAGCTTGATAAGGATTTTCATAGCAATGGCATACCTTGGAATGTGTGAATTGAAACTTGCACACTTCCGTTCTACAACACCAAATCTAATTAATTTAATGACTAATTAGAACTTGAGTAAATATATAATAGTTTCTCTTCACACAAACAACTTTAATTCTTATAAGGTAAGGATTCTTAGTGACCAACTTTAATTCTCTCTAGTGAAGAGAGATGAGTATTTATTTTCCCTGTGCATGATGTTACACTTGGCATAGTGATATCATAGTGGAATAGTCTTCCTTTTACACGCTTTGTGTAGGATCTTTACTTATCATCTTTTCATTACGATATTTGCATGTCGATTTTATTTGATCTCTTTTTCATCTCTTAGTGATTTTTTACTCATCCTCTTCTCGATTGACATTCCACCAAATTTTAGAGTAATCTTTTTTTTCTCGTGCCAATTGATTTTACTTGCAGATCGCAGTGGTTTAGATAGTGGGAAACAGAAAGATTATGTTAACGATTAGCGGTTCACTCATGGTGTTGACGGATAACCATTAATCAACATAGGTTATCTCTGGAGGATTTTTTTTCTCAGCAACAAAACGAATTTCATCACGGTTTACAAGGGAATGCGAACCCTTCCCTGTTGATGGAAAGAAATCAATATTTATTTTTCTCGTGCATGGTGTCATACGTGGCTTATGATGTCATATAAAAGCAATTTTTTTATGACACTTTTCACGAAGGTTGTAATGGTTTAGCCTTTATATCACAGTTAATTGTTTTATAGGAAGGTAGCTTTTTCGATGGGACCTATCTGTGGAGGAGCAAGATACAATAGTCTTAATCTCTAGATTTATAAAAAAAATTATTTTAGAGAGATATAATTCTTTTTTAGTCGAGCTAGCTTTCATGTCTCTCAAACTATCACATCACCCAATATTAACAGTCTTACTTTCACAGTCAACTTAACAACAACCATCCCATTATCAGGCAACCTGATTTATGATGCAGGTAGTCCTCCAGCTACTTGCCTTTGAACCTTGCACAACCTCCATTGTTCGTACTTGACAAAATATTTCTTGTACTCGTTTAAACACGACACGACAACAAGATATGTGTTAGATCTTTTGGATACTACTGATTATAGGAATATATATAAAATTTTATATAATGGGAGTAAATAAATTATCAATAGAAAATATAATAAAAATATCTAAATTTTATAAGAATTTAAATTTTTTAGAATTTAATTTTTTTAAGGGTGACAATTGCTTCCGTAAGCCCCATCAGTTCATCTCTATTGCTTGTGATAGGGTTTTTTTTTTTTTAAGTAAACACATATGGTATCATTGTCTATTGTTTTTAATTGGGTTATATTTTTTTACTCGAATGGTGTCTATCTCTTTATCATTTGATCTAACATATATCGATTAATTTAGTTAGAGAATGTATGGTAGAAAGCAAACATAACTGAATAGTTATTTCCAACTTTCATTGATCAAAGGCCCATATGCAGAAATGCAAGCTGAGGTTATAAACTTAACGGAAGATTTCTTTTCTTTTCCCTGCAAACTTCCCTATAAACTTAAAACAATACATAAGGATGCATGGGACTGAGCCATGACTGCTTTGCATCAGAAGCAAATATTATGTCGAAAACAAGAAATCTACACCAAGCGGCACATGCATGCAAAAGGCTTCCGAGTACTGCACATAATCAGACCTGCTTGATTTATTCATAAATCACTAATGGCCTCCGCCCATTCCCGGCGAAAGGGATACTTGTTTTGGTGGGTTCGGCAACGCCAGTATCGCCAACAATGCACTGACGGCCGCCGCTATTGACCCGAGCACAAAGGCCGGCAAGTTTCCTCCCCCGAATGCATCATCCAAAGGCCCACTAACTACAGATATAAACATCTGCAAGTTTTTTTTACATACAAATCAATCATCTTTAGAGTTAAAAGTGTTCATGATTATGCAACTCAAATATCACACGTTTCTCACCTGTGGGATAACTATAGACATGTTTAACACTCCTAGAGAAAGACCTGCCATGTTCAGAAAGTTCCATTGAATCAGTGTATATGGATATGCATATGTATATGTATATGTATATGTATATGTATATGTATATGTATATGTATATGTATATGTATATGTATATGTATATGTATATGTATATGTATATGTATATGTATATGTATATGTATATGTATATGTATATGTATATGTATATGTATATGTATATGTATATGTATATGTATATGTATATGTATGTATATGTATATGTATATGTATATGTATATGTATATGTATATGTATATGTATATGTATATGTATATGTATATGTATATGTATATGTATATGTATATGTATATGTATATGTATATGTATATGTATGTATATGTATATGTATATGTATATGTATGTATATGTATATGTATATGTATATGTATATGTATATGTATATGTATATGTATATGTATATGTATATGTATATGTATATGTATATGTATATGTATATGTATGTATATGTATATGTATATGTATATGTATATGTATGTATATGTATATGTATATGTATATGTATATGTATATGTATATGTATATGTATATGTATATGTATATGTATATGTATATGTATATGTATATGTATATGTATATATATGTATATGTATATGTATATGTATATGTATATGTATATGTATATGTATATGTATATGTATATGTATATGTATATGTATATGTATATGTATATGTATATGTATATGTATATGTATATGTATATGTATATGTATATGTATATGTATATGTATATGTATATGTATGTATATGTATATGTATATGTATATGTATATGTATATGTATATGTATATGTATATGTATATGTATATGTATATGTATATGTATATGTATATGTATATGTATATGTATAATCACAAAATTATACTCTTAACATTTATATAAATGGTCACTTTACCTTTTATTTTTCTTCTAGAGTATTTTATTTTCTAATATTTAAATTTTTGATCAAAATAAATATTGTTAGATGAAAATCATTATTTAACCAACAATCAATCTATATTGTTGATGTGATATTTTTACATGTGTCACGTAACTCAAACTAAAGATATTGTATGTGTCATGTCGCCTAAAATAATGACATGATATATATCACGTCATCCAGAGTAACGACGTGTCATGTGTTATGTCATCAAAAATAATGAGGTAACATATAATTGAATCTATAGAAAAATATTATGTCTGCAACATAGGTTAACTGTTAGTTAACTAACAGTTTTCATCTATCAATATTTGATTTGATCAAAAATTTAAATGTTGAAGATAAAATACACAAAAAAATAAAATAGATGATAAAGTGATTATTTGTGTAAATATTTAGGATTATTTTGTCATATATATGTGTGTATGTAGAAGTTATTGAGACTTTACCTTGACCGCCACCTGCAGAAGAGCAGTAGATGGACGCAAGAGCGAATGGGATACTGTATGTTACCTGCATGAAGACGAGTTGTGTGGTAAATCATGGATAATCAATTTTTCCAAAGACTTTTCAACTCATAGAAAATGGTTCAATTATTGTACTTAGTTTCTTACTGATTATGAAATTAGTGATTGTTTTGACCAGATTACCGTGTATTTCAAGCGAAAGCTACATTCCAATAGACCTCTTTGTTTTTGTCTATCATTTTCTAGGCCACAAGGGTCAGATATTTAATTGACTCTCTATGGATTAGGATGGCCACTTGAGTGTCACCTGATGGATTATAATCTAATATTATAATTATTTTTTATATATCTAGAGATAATTATAATCTCTTTCTATATTATTTTTTCATTTAAATCTTTACTTTATCTAATAAAAATGAATATAATATATATATATATATATTCGAATATAAAAAAGATTTAATCTTAGAACCGAATTCAGACAATAATGCTTAGAAACGAAAGCGAGAGAAGAGAGTAAATGGACTAACCGCAAGTGGAATACCCAAAATTCCGAATACAGCCAACGCAGAGCCTTGAACCTGAGCTGGAGGATGGGCAAGCTCGGGTCCAGCATGTCGTCTCCATGCCTCGGCAGCCTTGGTGATCAACACCGTCGACGCCAAGCACGCACACAAGACAAAGTTCACGACCGCCCACACGTTCTTCACCCCACCGATCAACCGCCCCACCGGCTCCAACGCCAGCGAGGTCAACCCCAACACGATCGAGTTGATCATCAGCCCCAACGCACCCGCCCGCACGCCTTCGCCATAAATCTTCACTTCGTGTGCGTTCCCTTTCACTTTCCCTCCATACACCTCCGTCCCCATCCAGTCGGTGTCGAACAACAAGAACGGGAACCACGCTATCCAGTTAAGGCAAGTCACCAGCAGCAATATCCACATTGGCTTCTTCAAGCTCTTGAAAGCCGACACGACCTCGCCAACGAAAGGCGACGTTTTTTTCGTCTCGTCTTCGTCGACTTGCTTCGTGAACGGAGATTCTTTGACGGTTGTCACGGCGGTTACGGTGACTAAGACGAGGATTACGATATCGATGATGAAGCATGATTTGAGGTTAGCACAATAAATGTCGCAGGCTTTTGTTTTTGTAAAGGGAAAGATCTTGTAAAGGCGGGAGTAAGAACCGGCGGCGTAGCCCAACACGTTGCCGACCGCCATGAAAAACGAGAACCAACCATTGGCCGTCCTCATCTTTTTGTGGTCGTTAGCCGATAAGTCGGCGAGTAGAGCCCGACACGGACCTTGCAACATGTTGTTAGAGACGTCGAGGATCCAAAACCCGACGACGAATATCGCGACGGCTCTCGGTTTGGTCGATTTCTCCAATGAATCGCCTGCATGGTGGCCCATGTCTTTAGCGAAACCGATGAGGAAGACGGCGATGGAGACCGAAGCAGCTCCGGCGACGATAAAGGGTCGGCGTCGACCGAACCGAGAGGTGCACCGGTCACTGTTGTAACCCACGATGGGTTGAACAAGGAGGCCGGAGATGGGACCGCAGAGCCAAATGAAAGCCGCCCATGTGTGGGGAACGCCGAGGGTCTGGACGTATGGGGTTAAAAGAGACAGCTGCAGAGCCCAGCCAAACTGGATACCAGCGGCAATGGAGGCGACGGTGATGATTTTCCTTATCGAGCTCGGAGATGGCGGGTTGATAACTCCGTTTTCCATTGTAGTTGCCGATGTGTTTACCTGTAAAACTAAACTCCTTTGTGTTACAAATATATAAACATTCTTCCAAGCTGAAAAATATTAAAAACAATAATAATATTTAAAAAAATAAACATAAGTCCTTGTCTCTATCATATGATTTTCATGTCGGTAAAAATATAAAATATATTTCTTTATTTTGAAATCATTTATGTATTTAAAAGTATAGTTTTAAATTAAAATTATTTGAAATTTCATATTTTCTTAAGATGTTAAACTTGTTTATTGTGTAAGTGAAAATATATTTATTGAGAAGGAAATAAGATTATAATCTATTGACTATGTTAGCTTCCAATTTTAACGTTGAAACTACTAATTTTTTGGATCTTTCGTCAATAATTTTTTTTAGGGTGAATTACTTATATATTCATTTAATTATTATATTAATTTTATTTTAATTACTTAATTATTTATTTTCTGTTAAAAATAAGCAGATTGCTGACTTGATAATTTGTATTTTTTTAATGAGGGTGTAATATTGTTTTATGTTGACATGTCAATATCATTACTAATTTTTTAATGATGGGTGACTAAAACAGAATCAAAATATAACATTTGATATTATTAAAAAAATATTTAAATAAAAAAATAGAATTAAAATGACTGTTAGATGATTAAATATATAATTTACCTTAATTTTTAATACGATCGAGAATGATATCAAAAATTAAAATCCTTTAGACTTAAAAAATTATCACTTCATAAAAAAATAGTTTTATTATCCTTGGATCATGCAAATCTTTTTTAAAAAGTTAATAATATACTTAATTATAATAAAATATATAAAAGTAATTATAAATTAAATTATTTGATTTTACAAACTAAATTTTATGTGGATAAAAAGGCAGAAACCGACCACAGAAAACTTTGCAAGCGTGTGTGTGAAGGTCGCATGTCTGAATTCCTTCTTGTAATGATTCGTTATATTCTTGTAATTATTCTCGGACACGTCAAGCTTATGCTAAAGTCTATATTCACTCTGTTTTCTATATTATCCATCATGATTCTGGTTGCACTAAATCATTAATAGTTGAAAATATTCTATTCACGCAAATAATCAATTATAAAATAAAATAAAAAGGCAATAAAAATTGTTCTTCCATACTTAATAGTTGAAATTTATATTTAATAATTATTTTTATAACTTTTGAAAGTTCAGTGACTAAAACGACATTTTGAACATAGTTCAGTGACTTCTAATGTACTTTACCTTTAATTAAAAACAAAATTTTAATTTAATTAAATATGTATTGCATATTAAATAGTTTCATAATTTACATGTGTACTTTGGAATTATTGGATGGCAATTCAAATTTGAAAATGGACAAATCAAATCTTTTAAAACTTTAATAAATTAATTCATGTGAAATATATTCCCTTCTATTTCTAAAAATACACTATTTTATTAATCAAAAGGTGAATAAAATAATCAAAATTACATGACCTTTATTCCCACCTAATCCAAGTAAAGGTATTAATTATTATTTTAATATCAAATTATATACACACGCAAGTTGATACTCGAAGAAAATCATACAAAGTCAAAAAGTATACGACCATTCCAATTACATAATATTTTCATAAACTAACACTACAAATTATTCTTTAAAATTGGCCTTAAGGTTTAATTAATTAATTGAAGGTTCAATCCTCAAATTTAACTGGAGATGATTAAAAAAACACTATCAACTACTAGTTAGTCTGATGGGATGAATCATTTGACTCTTTATATATCAAGAGTTCAAATATTTATATTATGAATTGAGCAAATTGAGTTAAGAAAATCGTCTCATAATAAATCTTTATAATACATGATTTGAATTAATCGATAGGTTAGAAAATTAAAATAAATACTTTAAGATTAACCTAAATGTGAATTGAGCAAACAAAGTTAAGAGAATTGTCTGTCTTACAATAAATATTTATAATACATGATCTGAATTAATTGGTAGGTTAGAAAATTAAAATAAATACTTTAAGATTAACTAAAATATGAATAGAACAAACTAAGTTAAGAGAATCGTGTCATGATAAATCTTTATAATAGATGATATGAATGGTAGGTTAGAAAATCAAAATAAATACTTTAAGATTAACCCACAATTTTAATGAATTAAACGTTACTATCAAAAACCCTTTATTTCTTCTCCACTAAACCATGATTTGAAAGGGAAAAGAAATGAACATAAACATGAAACCGACAAGTACTCCCTAAACAACAGTACAAATCTCAGGTTTCATCACTTACCAGTTCCTTCTGTATGAGAGCTAATCTGCTGGAAAATCCACCACCTTCTCCTTCTTCAAAGCTTGAGGTTTTATGAGATAGAGAGGGAAAGAGAAAACTAAGTGTTGAAGAGTTCTAAGCTCTACAGTTTGGAATGCAGTGGAAAGGGAGAATCCGTAAATCTATTTATATAGGCATTGGTTTTCAATTTGTGAAATGGAACAGTTCAATCATACAAGCTGGCTTTTTTTTTTATTATTATTGTTTGTAAATACTGTTTGGCTGCCAAGAAAAATATGTGCTTATAAGCATGTGGATATTGCCTAATAGCAATGGAATTCTTTTGGCAGGAGATTCTTTTTCTCTCCTTTTCTTTCTCGTTTTGTGTTACAGAAAGAAGAATATTTACAAAAACATACATGTGGGAAAAAGGAGATTCACTACTCTTACTAGCAATAATACAAGAGTTAAGGTGTGAGAAGATCTTGATTTTTTTTTTAAATATATTAAATTTCTAAATTGTTTTATGTTCAAAAATTTTCTTTTGATCAATATTGATGGCTACTTATAATATTTTTTAAAATAATTTATATTCATGATACATTAAGATGTTTCCATGCATCAGTTTATTAACTCTTTAGTATTTTATTTAGAATTTTAATATCTTTTAGCATTTTTCTTTAAAATTTACTTCATTAATATATATTTACCTCATTCGTGATATTAAAATTCAAATTATCGGACCAAATAGATAAAAAGTCGTTATAATTTATCTCCCCATATAACATATTCGTTGTCCATCTCCAATTGAGTTGAGGGTGGACACATATTCATTCTGAAATATGAATTTTCTTCATTTATTTACCTATTTTATTTGTATTTACCTAATATAAAAATTATGTTATTAATATATATATGTTCACCGTCAAAAATATTTTTGGATCCGTTGTTACCGTCTAGGTATGTTTATGCCTTTCTTAGTGTGAAAGAGAAGGAATATTGGGTTTGCTTTTTCAGATGCATTACCCCTTCTTTACTAGCTTATTCCCAGTTGAGTGCCGGATAGAGTTTTTCATCCCACTCTATCCACACATTTATATTCAATTATATATTCAGATACACATTGAATGCAAAGATTTTAATTTTTTTGTTAATTATTTTATTATAATTTATTTATCGATTGATTCAGATAAAATATTATAAAAATGCTCATAAAATGAATTGTCTTCTAAATCATATTTATCACATTTATAATATTAAAATTTAAATGTTTAATTTTACTTAGAAAATCTAACGTTGTTGGCAACACGGCAATTTCTTTAAGAAGTAAATAGACAATTCAGTATTTAATTTATGTATAATAAACCAATAATAAGTTTTATTATGCTTAGTCCCTATTTTATTCAACTTGATAATTTAGTTTCAACACTTTAATTTCTTATAGTTTAGTCCAAATCACTAATCCATGTCATTTTCACGATTCAAAACTGTTTTTTCCAACAAAAAAAAATATAAAACCATCTCAACCGACTATTTAATGATATTAATGATATGAACAAAAGCATTACAATATAATAGCAGTACGATTAAATTATATTAAATTAAAGTATATAGATTAAATAATTATACATAATCGAATATAAAAAGGACTAAAGATCTACTTACAATATGATAAATTCAAAAAAGTGCTTTTTTAGGTATAATAAAAGAAAAAGAGACTTTTTTATTTATTTTAAGATTATAATTTTATGATTCGTGTTTATTTCTTTGTTATACATCCAAACTTTAACCCATAATTTCGTCCATACTCTTTTTGCCATTTGGGCATCTTGTGATCCGAGACTAAGTTGAAAGAATAGGGTAGGCCTAAAAGAAAAATATAAAGAATTTTAGAAGACACTAGAAACAGGGTTGAACCAAACTACGCATGCTATGGCATGGGACCATGGGCTAGACCTTTCCCAATTAAAATGACCGTTGACCAACCTTTTTCGATAAAATAAATTTTAAAAATACAATTTAGGTTGTACATAACAACATTTTCTGTTGCAATCGAAAATGTTATATTTTTTATAATATTTTTGATTATAAATATTAAGCCATATGTAATGTAACTTTTCAGTTGTATCCGAAATGTTATAAATTTATATAACTTTTTAAGTTGAACAATATAATATTCTAAGTTGAAAATCGTTTTAAATTAACCTTAAATTAGGTTACCACACACAGAACTACCCTTCCCATAAGCTGCCAAGACAATGGGCTCACCCCAAAGTTTTCAAACCTACCATGCTTTGCTGCTGCTTCCACGGACCACTCTCTTTTTCCATCATCCCACTCTCATATTATTCTTTTTTTCGAATATCTTTTAATATTCTATAGTCGTTTTGAGTCAATGATGGATATTGATAAAACAGTTCGAGGAATCAAATTAAAACTTAAATTCTTTTTGAAGATTGCGTTGAAAATGTCAAAAAAATGAGGGGTTTAATGATTCTTTTTGAAAAATGGAGGGACCTAGTTAAAAATATTAAAATATTCGAGTTTTAATAAAAACTTAAAGGACTTGATTCAAATTTTCCCATTTTTAGGAAGCTAAGGCGTATTATCTTTCATGACGTTCTCTGCTTTGATTGCTAATTATATTTAGAATTGAGTCGCATTAAATTTTCTTACGTGATCTTTCGACGTTTGATAATTATTTTAAGCCAATTCTGAATATTGAAAAAATAGTTTGAGAAGTCAAGTTTCTAATTGAAAATTCCGAAAAAAAAGGAGGGGTTAATGATTTTT